AAAAAACTGCATCTCCAGACGATCCTGATAGCGATTGTAAATCAACAACCACGTCTGATTACGAAGAAGCAGATTCAGATCCTAAAGTATTATACAAACCTTATTTTGTTACTGATTATAATCGACGATACCCAGAAGACTCCGGTGCAACTGAATTTGTTGTCTTCGTTGAGTCTACTGATTCTAATACCGCCATAGGCGCCAGAGATCTTTTATCCTTATCATCCTGCTTAAAAAGATTCAATAAAGGGGTAAAATACCTTAGAAGCCTAAATAAATATAAAATCGGTGTTTACTTTGAGAAGCCAGGTCTTGCAAATGCATTCTTAAACAATTTAACATTTTTGAAAGAATACCAGTTTAAAGCTAGCATTCCAGCAGGTTCAACCGAAGTCACAGGAGTCATCAGAAATGTCCCTATAAATTTATCCAATATGAAGATTTACACAATGTTATCAAGCTATAAGAAAATTATTTGTATTCGACGTTTTTTAAGAAAAGTTAAAAATGATGTTACTTTTTATCTACAGCCAACACAGACAGTAGCCATTACTTTTGCTGCATCAGTTCTGCCCGACTATGTGGACCTGGAAGGTTGGAGACATGATATTTCACCTTACATTCCTCCTGTTAAACAATGTTTCCGGTGTTTAAGGTATGGTCATTTTGCAAAGTTTTGCAAGAATGCTGAGATATGTTCCATTTGTAAAGGAAACCATAATTTTAAAACATGTACTACACCAATTGATAATGCCAAGTGTTTCCATTGCGATGGGAACCATATAAGTGTCTCATCACAGTGCCCTGTAAAACAAAAAAAAATAATTGAGAATAGAAATAAAGCACAAAGACCTTCATATGCAGACACTTTCAAATCTTTTCCCACTCTTGGACACAGACTAAATAAACAGAATAATGACATTATTTCAATTTTAAAAAATGATGACAAATCACTAGGCCTCCTTGTAGAGACCATTGTTAAATTAATAACATTAAATAAGACCCAAAACACATCAATTTGCTCTAAAAATGTACTAGAACTGCTTACTGAAAATTTCAGTACTAAAATAAATAGTATTCAAAATTCACATTAAACAAATTAAACATAGTACAGTGGAATGCTCAAAGTCTGTTGAGCAATCGACATTTATTTTCACAATTTTTATATAGTAAAAATATTCATATTGCATTAATTTGTGAAACATGGTTAAGACCACACCATAAATATAAAATCAAAGGATATAATATAGTAAGAAATGACTCAGGTAACCATCATAATGGTGTTGCTATTATACTGCATAATAGTATAACATATAATAAAATTGATGTAATGTCTGATGATGGATTACAAAATCTGGTTGTACAGATTATTGTTAATAATAAGAAAATATCTTTTGCTACTGTTTATTGCCCAACAAATTGTACCACACCATTCTCTAAATCTAAGTTCATAAATTTTGTAAATAATATACCTAAACCATTCATTATTGCTGGAGATTTCAATGCACATCACACTATTTGGGGATGTGATACCATTAAACCTAGAGGTAGAGATATTTTAGAATCACTAGACGAATGCAACTTGGTTTTACTTAATGATACTCAAGCTACAACTGTAGGAACTCATATATGGAAACCTAATGGTTTAGATTTAACAATAGTTAGTCCGACCATAGCACTTATGTGTGAATGGTATGTACACGATGACCCCATAGGTAGTTATCATCTCCCTACAGTGACCGAACTAACCGTAGGAAATGATTATTCTCCATGTCATAATTTAGCACAAATTAATGGTACTGTTTCAATTCATCACAGTAATTTGCGTCTAATAAACTGGGATACATATAGTATTTTAGTTAATACAAAATTACAGGATTTTTCTATTAATGAGAATGATCCCATTATCACTTATCAGCGCTTCTGTAAAATTATACAAGACACCGTTGATATAGTATTAGGCAGAAAGTCAACAATACAGAAAAAATTGTCGCATTCACAAGGTGACAGTATTAAAAAATATAAACATTGTCCTCTTCCCTGGTGGAATGAAGAATGCGCATCAGCTGTTCAAAATAGTAAAAATGCTTATGTCAATTTTAAACGAGATCCTACCATAGACAATTATATTACATTTAAAAGACTGCAAGCACTAAAAAAATTAACAATCAGAAATGTACGTATACAAAGCTGGCAAAATTTCTGCTCAAATTTAAATAGATTAACACCAATTTCAACCATTTGGCAAAATCTAAGAAAATTTAATAAAAAATATTCAAATAAAACTTATATAGGTAATAACAACAATCTAATGCCATGGATTGACGATTTTTTGCACAAATATACTCCTGATTTTGTCTCAAGACCTCTATATATAGGTGACACTTTTAAACATACTGATAGGTTTTTTAATCAGCCCTTTAAATTAGTAGAACTTCAAACAGCAGTAAAAAGTAGGAAGGATACAGCTGTAGGATTAGATAATATGTCATATAAAATGCTAAAAAAATTAAATGAAAACAATTTAGAAATGTTTCTTAATATCCTAAATTTACTTTGGCTTAATTCTATTATTCCTAATGAATGGAAAACTGATTGTTTAATACCAGTATTAAAATCAAATAAGAATCCTTCACAAGCTGATTCATATCGACCTATAACTTTAACATCCTGTTTTGGAAAAATTTTTGAACAACTTATAAAACAACGTCTCGAATTTTTTATCGAATCTCAAAATATATTACCGCCGAATCAGTTTGGCTTTAGACGTGGATTTTCGGCTCGCGAAAGTTTGTGTCATTTATATATGGACATAAATAGAACTAAAAAAAATAGGCAACATTTTGCTGGTGTTTTTTTGGATATTATCGGTGCTTTTAACAATATCAATCATAATGTTATGTCTGACATTCTAGCTTCACTTGGAATATCAAATAAATTAGTACGCTGGATATTTAATTTCATGAATGGTCGTGAAGTATATGTGAAGCTCACTAATAATACATGTCTTGGACCTCGGTTATCGCATATCGGAGTGTGTCAAGGCGGTATATTAAGTCCTCTTTTGTACATATTGTACGTCCATAGATTAAATGAAGTATTGGGTAGAGAAGTACATAATCTTCAATTTGCTGATGATTTAGCAATATATTGCTATGGAAATAATTTAACAGACATTAGTTACAAAATAAACAATGCTCTACGTAATCTATCTGTATATTTTTCATATCTTGATTTAGAAATTAGTCCTTCGAAAAGTAAAATGATTTTATTTGAGAATAATAATCTTAATTTAGATCTTTCAAATTTATCTGTTACATACAATGGATACACTATACCAATAGAATCGGAAGTAAAATTTTTGGGCGTTTTATTCCAAAACAAAATGTGTTGGAAAAAGTATGTAGATTGCTTAGCAGATCGAGCCATGATGTCAACTAATATTCTTAGATCATTAGTAGGCACTCGTTGGGGAGCAGATCCTAAAACTCTATTGATGTTATATAAATCGTTAGTTAGAACACATTTTGAATATGCTTTCTTTTGCTTTTGTGAATACAATGTTTATGTAGAAAAACTTGAAAAAATTCAAAATATAAATCTTAGATTAATTTTGGGTGCTATGAATACCTCACCTATAAATTCTATGCAAGTAGAGTGTTACTTATCACCATTAAGATTACGATTTGAATTTTTAAAACTTACCTTTCTGTTGAAATTACTTTCTGTAAATAAAAATACCTTGCTAATTAAACTACTAGATTCTTCATTTCCAAAAACTTTTCTTTCTGAAAAGGTTAGTGAATTTATTGATTGGGTCCGTAATTTTAATATCTATATTAAACCATCCCCGAGTTATTATGGATACTCATATGATGCCCTCTATTCTCAAATTTCTATAAATATTAATAAAACATTAAAAGATAAATATGACGTATATGAATACCTGTCGCGGTGGAACACATATAGGCAAATATACACCGACGGAGCAAAAAATAAAGAATGTGTTTCCATTGCTATATATGATGGCACAGAACAAATGGCAAGTGGTACCAAAATTTCGAAAAATGCAAGTATATTTACGGCAGAAGCTTATGCGATTATTAAGGCTTTAGACTACATTAAAGAGACTTTTGACTGTGACAAATGGTTAATCATAACAGATAGTATGAGTGTTTTGATGGCTCTTTCGAACGATTCTCATAATAAATTAACCGCTTCCTCTGTAATTCAAAGTATTCGCAGTAAGATGCATGACCTGAAACATAAATTACATAAAGATATTATTCTAATTTGGGTTCCTTCCCATATTGGAGTAATTGGTAATGAGAAAGCAGATGAATTAGCTCGTTTAATAACTAACTGTCCTGTCAATCAAATAGAGAAGAGAATAAAAATTCCGGACAGAGACGTTATTATAGAAATAAAGCAAAGGATTAAAAATCAGTGGATAAAACTTTGGGATGAATCTACTAAAATTAAAGGAAAATGGTTAAAAGAAATTCAACAGGATATTAAATCCCCATGGTTTACTAAAGGAAAAATTAAAATTAGAAGATTTTATACGACATTAAGTCGCTTAAGACTTGGACACGGACGATTTAATGAACACTTGTGTAGAATGAAAATGATATCTAGTCCAGTGTGTAATTATTGTTCAAGCGGAGAAGTACAGACTCTGGATCATCTACTCTTCGATTGTCAACAATTCAATATACAACGTTTAGCTCTAATTGACAAATTAATGTCCATTTACAAGGATCTGAATATCCCGCGCACTATTCAGACTTTACTTAAAAATCAAGAAACATACAAACCAATTTATGAATATATTGTCTCCACAGTAGAAGATATCTGAAGAAAGAAAAAAGAAATTAAAATACAGAAATTATACCAAAGACAACGGCTGTATGGGCTTAGACTCTTTGCCTTTCCATTACGGATAAATAAAACAAAAAAAAAAAAAAATTGACGTCGCATATAAAAATTGCCAAGTTGTCAAAAAATGTCAGCCAACAGGGAGAGTAGCTTAGTTCAATCTTATATTGAATTAAATAAATTTTGTCAAAGTGGCGACTATGATAGAGCTTTAAAAGCAACTGGGAAGAGTAAGTTATATATTATATTTTCATATATTCCCGTTTAAACGTACTGATAGTAATGTTTTCGAAATATAACCTTCAAACTTTCTGTACACCAATCTGCAATTCTAATTTTCTAACTTTTTAATAGATATATTAATAGTGACTGTCATCTTAATAAATTTTTTATGTTTAAGTGGATATATGTAAAATTATTAAATTTGATATTTAATGACTAAGCGACGACTTAGGCTATACATATAATAATTTATATACCCTTGTTTTTTTCAGTCTTACAAATAGCTCCAAATGAACAAAAAGCATTTCATTGCAAAGTGGTATGCCTTATTCAACTCCTCAATTTTAAGGAAGCCTTAGCTATTCTAAATAACCAAAAAAATGCTGCACTTGCTGCTGATTTGCATTTTGAAAAGGCATACACTCAGTATCGCCTCAATACACCTAATGATGCACTGCAGACTGTAGACAATGCTCCTGAATTGACTCCACCATTGAAAGAACTGAGGTATTTATACTCACATTAACTGTTCACTGTGATTTAGTACCTTTATTATTATTTATATTAGATAACTTATGTCTATGTTCTTATTATTTGTTAAATTTCGTTATTATCTATTCTGATATAGAGTTGTAATGTGTGTGTGTGTTGTAAATAACAAATTTCACACAATTCATGTATGTTACTGACTGAGGTATCATACAGACAAGCAGACTTTTGCATTCATAATATTAGTATGTATAAATAAACTGATGATTTTATTTACTTACATGTTTTAAATTTAATTAAATGCCTATTAGGATAACCTAATTAAATTACTAGATAATACGAAACATATTCAGAATTGGCCTTATTATTTTGTTTAATGGAAATCCCTATTGGAATTGTTGTATAACAATAATTGTGTGTGTCTTTTATTGTCACCCTCAATATAACTTTTTATCAAAAAAGTCTAAATATGTAGGGTACTTAAAAATAATCATTCTATGTAAGCCTCAATACAAGCATTCATATTAAAAAACATGATTCTAAAATATAAATGTGTTTTAATCCATAATAGGAATAAATATAGTATTATTCTCATTAATTTCTAAGTAATAAGGGACTTTGAAATGTGGAATTTGGGTTTCAATCCATTTTTAATTTTTTTACACTTTTAAACTTCATATCACAAGAATCATAAGCTTTTATGGGCATAAAGCCTGGATTTTAGATATCTCAAAGCAGAAAAAAATTGATTTTATGCTTGTTTAAATATATTAGGAGTACATAAGTTTTTAGCCATATATGTTACTTGAAGATTTTAACAAATAAAAAAAATTTAGCCGTTTAGATTAGAAAAATAACTGTATTGGACTGATCATGGTGAAGCATTCAAGGGACAAGTCTGTTGTAGACAGCACATATAATGATTTTATCATATATACCTATAATATTCTACATCTTCAATTTCCAGGGCTCAAATTTTATACCGCCTTGAGCAGTATCAAGACTGCTACAACTTGTACCGAGAAGTAGTTAAAAACACTACTGATGAATATGAAGATGAAAGGAAAACCAATATGGCTGCTGTTGTGGCCAATATGGCTGCACTTAATCCAGTAAATATTCTAATATAATTAATTATAATTCTTTTATATTATCTATTTATGTTATTTGGAGACAAGCTGCAAATTTAAAAAGAAAGTGAATAATTAGGGTGTATGCATGCTATATGTTTAATTTTCAAAATGTGTTACTCCACACAAGAATTCACACCAGAGACTCGGTCTCATAAAAGTGACCAAGTTTGACAAACATGGGTGAGGAGTAAATAAATTGTTTGATGTAATTTATATATGGCCCCTGACTAATGAGAGGAAGACCAGTAATATAGCTATATAAATTCTTTATTTAGTGTACACATATTTATTTGGAGAAATGACAGAATAAAAGTATGAAGTTGATAGAATATATTTATAACATAAGAAAATAAAACATGATATATAGTATATCATGGATTATACTTTCTCATTTTGCATTAATTGTATTTAAAAGTCTGCTCAATTTTAATACACTTCAGCAGTTGTTACATATGACTTTTTATAATTTGTCTATTGTTATGCATTTATTTTTATCTCAACTACTATGTCATACCATAACATATAAGGAATAGCAACATTGTTAATCAAGGGTGTCATATGATAATATGATCCTATTCATATATATAATAATAATAATAATAATAAAAGCCTTTATTTACTGTTAACATTACATTACAAATTTACAGCAGTAACTACGGTCCTGATAGTCTACAATTTTTTTTTCCACATATATACTGTTGTGTAAATGGTTTTTTTTTATGGAATAAATGGAATGGTGCACCCGCCTGCGATAACGGTTTTCGCTGGCGGGCTACCAGTGGAGGATGATAAGATGAGGATGAGGTCAGGTTAGTTAGCCCATCGTGATAAATTCACGAAGATTTATCAAGATGGTTTCCAGGGGGAACCGCATGGAGGTCAACCTGACATGGTGCATTGGTAGCAATAAGATCATCAGTCCACATTACGAACAATCCCCTTTCCCCCCTATGTAGATGGTTACCACTTACCATCATTTGGGCACTTAGCTTGTTTAACATTCCAATTATTGGGCTTATGCCTGTAGTAATAGTTGTGTATATAAATGAATAAATTAAATAAAAATGCTTTTTTATATTATAGTCAGCAGACCTGCCCCAATTCAATGCCAACACATATGAGCAAACATACAACACTGGCAGCATACTGGCCATGAAAGGAAAGTACAATGAAGCATTACCTGTGCTGAAGAAAGCCGAGCAGGCATGCTCGGAGAGTGTTATTGATGATGGTGGCACCGAGGAGGAGGCTAAAGAGGAAGCTGGAATAATTAGGTTAGCAAATTTATTAATATTTAATTACAAGGAATCCCAATAGAATGCCCTTCAAGAGACTGACGATACTAATGGGATGACACTCGAAACGGCAGGATTATTTCTTAAATACATACATGTTTATATATACAATTTTGATCCCCATTTGAATTAGGCGAAGGACCGATCTGAGGGGTATATTAATATGAATTAATCATTAAATAGTAAATAGTAGTAAATAGATTTTAATATCATTAGATATTAAAATCTATTTACTTGTAATTGTATTAGATTAATGGACAAAATGAATCTCCATTTGCAGAGTTCAACAAGCATATTGCCTCCAGCAAATGGGCAAGGAAAAGGAAGCTGCATCTATCTACCAGAATGTTTTGAAAGACAAACCGTCTGACCAAGCACTGGTCGCTATTGCTAGTAATAATCTCGTTGTCATCAACAGGTAAGCATATAAGCCAGACTATTTTTTATCGTTATCGTTTTAAATATTCTACATCCAATATAGAATTATGATATGATTGGCAACACTGTCTAAGTTATCACTCTATGGCGCTCTCAATGCAGAGTGCTGTCTGTGACTTTAAAATTAGATACATACTTTTTAACATGGAAACTAATATATGCAATAAAATATGTAAAACACTATCATTGTTTAATTGTAAATAATCGTATTGGTCTTTGGCGATTGTGTCAGTTTTTTTTTCTTATGGATGATAATGGAATGGTGCACCTGCTTACGCTAACCATTTACGCTGGAGGATGATAAGATGAGCGTGAGGTTCGATTAACACAACATGATAAATTTACCATGAATTTGTCATAGCGTAGCTCAAATTCTTGTACTTATTGTAATTTGTTTTGTGTGCTAATAATAAATATATGTTGTTTATATGTCATGTAAAAAAGAAAAAAGGCAGATATTGAACACAATAGAAAATAGACGAGGAAAAATGTTAGGACACGGCACTTGATACGGCACGATGATTTCATGAAAATTATTATTGAAGGAAAAATAGAAGGAAAGAGGGGGAGGGGAAGACCAAGGAATAGCTACATCAAACAAATTGAGGACAAAATGGGAGTCGTGTCGTATCAAGAATTAAAGAGCATGATGGAAGATCGCGGAAAGTGGCAAGAGCTCCACCGACAAGAGCGTAGCTCTTAAATTATGAATGAATGAATATGTCATATATTTTCCAACTATGTTTTTGTTTGTATTCAGAGACACCAATGTGTTCGATTCTCGTAAGCGTATGAAAGCGGCGACACAAGACGGGCTTGAACACAAACTTAATTCTCGTCAACGGGCTGCTATCACGTACAATCAGGCGATACTCGCAATTTACTCCAACCAGGTATATCAAACGTATTTTAATTTTATTTACTCACTACAACAAAAGGATAAGATTGTAATAAGTTATTGAGCTTGACAAGGAGTGATATAGCATAAACTCTATATATATGTGTTTTTTGTTTGTTCTTGGGTATATTGGAACTAGAGGACATGTTTTTTCTACATGGCAACTTTTTATAAAATAATATAAAATAGGTTGTACTGACTGATTAAAACTAATAAAATTGTATATATATTACTAGCTCAGCCGGCAAACGTTGTCTTGCCATATAAATTAATATCGCCATTATATAATACAACTCCAAATTTTGACCATCACCACAATGGATGGTAAAGGGGTGAAAATTAAAAGTTGTCCATAAAATTAAACATATTTTTAGATGAATCATTGTTATCAGTTGGGGTACCAAAAATAAATAACAACCTATTCTCATACCTACCGAGTATGTTATAAAATTTCACCAAAATCGGTTAAAACCTTTTGAAGAAGCATGACAACTATCACTGACACATTATATATATATATATCGGTTTATTTTTCAGCCGGAGTTCTGCAAACAGTGCTGCGTGAAGCTGGCGCGGTCGTTCGGACTGGAGGAGCGAGCGGCGCTGGTGGAGGCAGCCTCGCTGGCCAGGGACGGCCGGGCCGCCGCCGCCACCGCTTGTTTACTGCGCGTCGGCGGCCTCGCCCTCGCCGCCGTGCAGCTCGCGCTCGCGCAGGTACGGGCAGCTCGCGCTCGCGCAGGTACGTGCAGCTCGCGCTCGCGCAGGTACGTGCAGCTCGCGCTCGCGCAGGTACGTGCAGCTCGCGCTCGCGCAGGTACGTGCAGCTCGCGCTCGCGCAGGTACGTGCAGCTCGCGCTCGCGCAGGTACGTGCAGCTCTCGCTCGCGCAGGTACGTGCAGCTCGCGCTCGCGCAGGTACGTGCAGCTCGCGCTCGCGCAGGTACGTGCAGCTCTCGCTCGCGCAGGTACGTGCAGCTCGCGCTCGCGCAGGTACGTGCAGCTCGCGCTCGCGCAGGTACGTGCAGCTCTCGCTCGCGCAGGTACGTGCAGCTCGCGCTCGCGCAGGTACGTGCAGCTCTCGCTCGCGCAGGTACGTGCAGCTCGCGCTCGCGCAGGTACGTGCAGCTCGCGCTCGCGCAGGTACGTGCAGCTCGCGCTCGCGCAGGTACGTGCAGCTCTCGCTCGCGCAGGTACGTGCAGCTCTCGCTCGCGCAGGTACGTGCAGCTCGCGCTCGCGCAGGTACGTGCAGCTCGCGCTCGCGCAGGTACGTGCAGCTCTCGCTCGCGCAGGTACGTGCAGCTCGCGCTCGCGCAGGTACGTGCAGCTCGCGCTCGCGCAGGTACGGGCAGCTCGCGCTAGCGCCTGCCTGCTGCCGTCCTAGACGCCGTGCATTTGCACGTGTGTGCGTCATTCATTATATCAGTATTATGTAAAAAGTAATTAAAATATTCATTTGAGTCCTAAAATAAAGCTATAAATCAAAATATACAGTGCCTAATAATACATTACTCTAATAGGGTGATCGTAAAGCGGCCGTGAAACTGCTGGACGAAAGTGAATACAAATACCGGCCAGGCGTCATCGGAGTGCTGTGTACGCTGCTCAGTGCGGACGGCGAGTACAAGAGGGTTTCAGAGATGTTCACCGATGTTTACGAACATTATAAGAACGATGAGGTTGGTACACTAACTATACTACTATAAATTGCTGACTACTAGTTTAATATAGTGATTAAAAAATTAAATTTTAAAAGAAAGTCAAATGACATGACTTAAGCCTATTCACGTGCGAAAGAGTCACGCCAAAAATAATTAAATGAATAATAATAATAGTAAAAAATTACGATTGGTTTCACACGCTGAATCGCGAGCGCTTCTTATTGCGTAGGAAAGAACTTGTGCTGTAAAGGTTTACACGACACGGTTACGCATCATTAGAATAGTTGGAATGAAAACGTTATATACAGCGGTTCGCGTCGCTGCAGCACCGGCAGCGCTGCGGCCACGGTCTTTAAAATAATAGGAATTAAATAATGTGTGTGTGCAGCGGTTCGCATCGCTGCGCGCAGTGTGGCGCGGCGCTGCAGCGGCGCATGCGCGTGCCGGCGAGACGCGTGCGGGCGCTGCAGCGCTGGCAGCGCTGCGTGCAGCCGCGCCGGAAGACGCACGCAGTCTCGCGCGGCTCGTCAAGCTGCTGGCCGCGCACGAGCCCGACCGCGCGAGGCAACTGGCTAAGGAACTGCCGCGGCTCGACCGCCTAGAGGTAACTATTGTTCATTAAGAAATCTACAGCTATATTGGCGTGTATATTGTGTACTAAAGCCAACAAATTTAAGTATATTTAATAATGCAAGAAATATTTGATCATTATAAAAAAAAAATATTATTCCGCTATCTATTCTATGTGTAACAATAATCATAAATAAAAGCCGGAAAGTAATATAAGTGTGTATTATTATAAATGTATTAAGTTTATTTGAAAATAATTTCTATTACGCATAATGTAGAATTTTTCGGAGACTACATCGACAAATAATTTATTGAACTTTCAGACTAAAGTCGATATTGATGCACTGGAATCGTCTAAATGGATGATGGGAGCGAAAGTTGTCAAGAAAACTGTGCAGAGCAAACAAGAGCAATCGCCTGGGTGAGTGACGTACATTCATTTCATAAGATTGCACCATACAAGAATATTGAAAACACATTACAAACAGGACTCTTGATCCCTCGTTATGGTAAACGTAGCACTAAAAATTTAACGTCCTCAGTAATTTGTAGCACACAGCTCTACCGCTAATTTGATATGTTATGAATGTTCATCATAATCAGATATTCCATCCGGTCTACATAATATAATTTTGTAGGACGCCTGGATCAGAGTTGGGCCAGAAAACGAAGGCCAAACGTAAACGCAAGACTAAACTTCCACCCAACGCGGACTTGTCAAAACCTCCGGATCCAGAAAGGTAAAAAATATTAATAACTAACTATTACCCGCGACTTTATTTGCTATTTTTTGCACAACAAATTATTCGTCCTCATGCTAATCAATTTTTGTGTCACATTTTATTAATATGTATTCGTGAAGACTGGAAGAAATAGTAATTTGTCTTCCTAAAGCCCATCCTTACATGATGATATTGTCAATATTCGAGCCTAATATCTTCTGATTCAGAAATGAAACACGTGACGTGTTATCACGTGGACTATATACTTGTTTGTTAGTATAATTATATTACATGTATATATATACATTTTCCTCTAATGCATATTCAAATGCGTTTGTCAGATGGCTGCCGAAGTACGAACGCACTGCGTACAGGAAGCGGCGCGGTGTGCGGCGTGACGTCATCAAGGGAAGCCAGGGCATGAGTACCACCGCCACCGACCAGTAGTAAGTTAACCATTCATTATCTTATTATAATTGAAAAGGCCTAACCATTGTTGATAATATTTATGGTTTAACACACCCCCTCACTTTTTGGAGATCGCGGGCGCGGACTCCGAAAAGTACGGAGTTTTGTATTTATGAGTACTAGCAATCGCCTACTGGTCGAAATTCGACCATAATTTATTTCAATTATATGTTTGAACAATATTAATGTTTAAAGTTTAGTTTATTGTATAGTCTATAGTTCTATAATAATAGGCACAGGAAATAAACAAAAGAGTATATATGCGAGTGTGTGTCAAATACATGGTAATATATTTTTTTTATTATTGATTTAATGTATTTATTATACCTTATTAAAAAACCCGTTTATTAGTTTTATATAGAAGTCTCTATATAAACTATAAATTTCACACTCCTCCGGCCGCACAGTTTTCGTAAAACAACAAAGTTTTTGCTTCATATATTAATAGATAGATGACCTGACCATTTGTATTCGATGGAGTGTTTTCTTTCGTATTTAGATATTTTAAAATAATTGCAGTCGTCGAATATATATCAGTATTACAAGCTTTGGTTATTTAGTTTTTTCTATTCACATGTTTGAAATATTTTGGATGGCAAGTAATAGTAAAATGAGCAGCAGGTATGTCAACTATATGTGAGTGGACCCGCTCTCTACGTCTTGGACGGTTGTATATAAATATTACATTAAAATTACAGCGATATGAGCAAACAACAAGCAGCGTCGGCAGCAGCAGCGGCGGCCACGGCAGCGAAGAGCCCTCGTGTGGAAACCAAGCAGGCGGACAACGCCTGGCAACGCAAGCAACAGCAGAAGAAGAAGGGCAAGGGTCGCAAGTGGTAGAGAAATACACATTTTATATCTATACTACTTTGTTTTATTCATCGATATTGAGTCTCTAAGGTTTACCGGCTACGAGTGACTTACGTGTTCCCCTTAAACTAGAAAACCCCCTTAATCTAAAAGGGAAAACACTTACAAGACCATGATCCGGACTGGTGTCTCGTTGGATCAGAGTACTGACCCGTAAAGGCGACGGAAGAAAAACAACTGCATACAACTGAAATGTGAATGTTGAGATGGATGTGTGGTCTGATAAGAATGGACATGATAAATAATGTATACATCAAAAGAAGTATGAATGTAGCGCTGATGTCGGAGTAGTTGAAGAATAAACGTCTATCATGGAATGAGTAAGAACGACTATGTAAAAAATGTTATGGCAAGCAAGGGAGTGAATAACGAGACGATTGCGATCAGCGAATGGAAGATAAAAACATTACGTCGACCATAAATAAATGGGTTAAGGCAACTCATCATTTGCCTTAACCCATTTATAGGTTAGGTTTAATTAAAACGCCTTAAACACGGCACTAAAATCTGCAAAAATATCTGAATGGTGGGCACATTACGTGAAATCGGCCACTATTTCACAACACACGAGGCAATTTAAAAGCCAAGCACTTCCATATCAATGTTCGGATATTGCCACTGATTTTAGAGCCGTGTGTAGCATATAATATCCCGATTTAGACTGCTGACTGCTGCCATATTTAAAAGGGCGGGGCGTAGCAATCAATGCGCCAATCAGATCGGAGTCGGATATAGTCGATTTGTCGTTATGTAATCGTAATATAACGTGACGACTAATCGACTTATTGCTTTAATCTGAATTTCTGACCCAGTTTCGTAGACAGGACTGGCGGGATGCCAAATATTATGAGTGGCGACATACATATATATAATTTTTATTCATGTTTCCGTCACATCTGTTATTAGGTGCACTCACATCGCAACGCAAACGCATACATAGAATATGTTAGCAGCGAGTGACATGGCTGCGTTGCACGCAAACAAAAATCATGCGAGTTTCCGAAGGGGAAGTGATACAAGCAAAATATTTCCTTTTCTTCCGTGAACAATGTTTATGCTAGCACATGAGGTGTACTTATGGTTGAGATTTCGAGAATTTTCGGTAATTCGTTTTAAAGTGATGATAGTTTGATATATTGTACATTTTCGTTACAATAAACTACATTCAATGCATCAGTTTAGGTTCAAAGAATAAAAGTCATTTAGATCAAAGAATTTATTAACCTAAATTTCTTACAATGAATAGTTATCGCTTTGCATTTTTTCTCTTTGATTTACCCGGGCGTTGATTCTTCTTCTTACTGTTAGGTTTGAATGACTTATTTTTTATATTAAATGGCCTCTTCTTAGCTGAACTGTTGAAACCATCCATTTGATTCGAGGATTCCCTTGTATTTAATTTAGAACCTTTCTTTTTACCGCCAAATCCAAATTTCTTATCTTTCAAAGCGCGTCTTTTAGCCGCTTTATTTTGAGGACCTTTATCTTTACCTTTTCCTTTTAAATTTTTCCCTTTGTTATCCTCTAAGAAGTCCAAATCAGCTGATTTGCCTTTTCTTACCCGTTTCAACTGTTCTAGCATATGTTTCTTGTCAGCAGCTTGTTTTAGTTTAGCATCAATCTGTAAATAATTTAGTTTGTGAATGTTATATTTCCGCAACAAAATGGCAGATGGAAATATATTTAGATTTCAAGATAGATATTATAAGGATATAGGCATTTACATCAAAAAAGAAACAGCCAGTTATTAGACTATCAGAGTGGCTATAACATCCCATGAACACTGCGGTCAAAACTACTCTTGCCAGTTCCTCTCATCGGATATAGCTGACCGAACTGGTTACTAGGGATAGTGATAACAAATTATGAAAATAGAATAATGAAATACACATACAGCTAGAGGACACTTTCAGCTATATATGATGACTTGTATATCTGGCTAAAAGTGTTCTATAGCAATCATAAATAATTCTGACCTTAATGTATTATTCAGGTGGTTCTTAAATTTTTTGCCACTCCCAATTATTTCAAATAAAAAAACCGTTATATGTACCTGTACACGTTTAGCAATCTTTTTCTGGTCTCGTAGCTGCCGTACTTTTTCAAGTCGAGCCTGCGCCGCCTGCTTCGCTAATAGGTTCTTACGCACTTTCTGCATGTGTTCATCCGTCTTTGCCATTTCCGCGAAATATTCATCAGGTCTGTAGATATTTAAAAAAATACAATTTGAATATCAATATTTATATTTACATGAATTTCTTCCGTTATTATGTCTGTGGTTCATAACAGAAGAAGTTCATCTCAAGAGAAAATTATTTAAATTTTATTACTTTCATATTTTAATTCATGTTCACTTTAGTAGTATTATAAAATAGTAACCAACCCAGGTGCTCGTAACTTTATCTGTTATGAATATATTAACATAATAGATAAGCTTGTCATTCTGAATGAATACTTTAAACAGTGAATTTTACATAAATACGTAAGACTATTTATGAAAAAGGTCATGACTATTAAAATAAACAGAAATCCACATAGGTTAGTAGTTAAGGACATTCCAAATTCAGACAAATATGACTAAAGCTACAATTAATAATAATCTAAAATATAAATTATGATATAATTCAATAATAATTAAAATTATTGTTACATAAATCTAGTTCTATTATATATACAGTAGTATCTCAACATTTTTTGTCACATGCGCGTTACCGTCCCTTAAGAAACCTTAACATACTTCTTCCTTGAAAATCCTTCTTGAAAAACATAATATAAGTTTAAGTCCTGTAACCTTGCTCCTATCTTAAAGCAATTTTCCCCATTGAAATTAATGGAAATGCCGTTCCAACTCCCAAAACACCCCCTCAGCTGTTTTTTCTGATGCTACTCAGTTTGGAGCTGGCATTATACTCTTTATCAACTTCTTCTGTTTGTCATTGAGTGCTACTTACTGTAGGTCAATTACTCACACACCTTACTCATGTTTTTCTATGATTCAATAGACATCATCTTCTTTGGACCAATGGTTATCTCATCTCAAATACTTGCACTTGTATATGAGATACCACTGTATATTATAAATTGCATGCCAGATATACCTGGCAAAATAAATGTGCATATTATACTGTAATTATGTTGTAAGCAAATAAATAATAACAATAGAGGATTGTTAGTAATGGAAAACAGGGATTGTTAGTACAACACATTATTCAGATATATCATATTGCATGTCAGCAATAACATGACTATTATTTAATGGAAAAAGTCTACTTTGCACTAAGTAAATACTTTTTGTTTCATTTCTAATTGTTTATTACAAATTAAATAAGAAATATTTAGTTAATGGATAGTATAATAAGTTTTTAGATATATTTAAGTATTTATTTTCTCTCCATACCTTCTGGTAGGCACACCAAGTTCCTTAAGTTTCTTTATTCCCTCCAGAACAGCTGATTGTGCCTGCCGATGGATGAGATTCTCCCGTTTGAACTCATTAAGCACTGGATCTTGTGTAGGGTCATAGTCTTTGTGACCCCTAGAATTTTCTTTTATATTCCTGAATAATATGACATTAATAATATATAAGTAATTATTTACTGTAATTCCAAGTATTATACAAAGGTGACCAACCACAAACAAAATGGTGCTTATAGAAAATAAAAATATACCAACAAAAATATATTATATTGATAGTTAGAGAGTCATGAATTAGTGGGCTGAAAAGGTGTGGGATCAAATCTGGTTGGTATCAAAAAAATAAATCCAAACAATTTTAAGACAATGTTAAGCTTATTCTCTGTCATATTGAATTCCATATAGCCAATGAAACAGGCATTTCAAGTGTGCATGACAGTACCAATTGACAACGCTTCTAATTAATCCATCTGTGATAACAATATTAAACATACAATATTATCATAATTTATGATAAATTTATATGAATCAAGTATGTTTAGACAAATATATGAAAATATATTTATATCTACAAGAGCAGGTACTTACTTTCGTCTTTGCGCTGTCTCCTGTATTTGTAAGGCAACGTCTGGAGCCAGTGGTGCTACAGTGGTAACAAGATCCAATGTTTCAATCCAGGGTAAATTTAATTTAAACTCCTTTAATTTTGATTTTAACTCAAGTACATTGTTAACGTATTTTTTCTCTATTTTTTCTATTTCTTCATTAAGTCCAGGCTTGAGTAATCCTTTTGCAAATGCTTCTTGTAACTGCAGAAAAATAATGTGTTAATTTATATTATAACCTAAACTTAAACATAACCAAAAAAATATTACAGAACAGTACCTCTTCATCGGAATCTACTTCTGTATCACTATCGTTCAATACGAAATCAGTCATTTTACCTAAGTACTAAATAATATTCAAACTTCTGATAAAAATAAAGTTTTTATTCTAAGTTTCATAACCTCAAAGCATGGATAAAATGCACGAAGATAAACCTACATACACAATACACTGTTACTATCACAGATAATAATCACTGTCACTGCTGACCATAAAAAGTATAGACTGTGACAAGGAACAATACTCTAAAGAGGACTGTGATATATTCCATATAAGTCAATCACAGAACTCACAGTCACAGAGTACTTTTTTTATACTAATGGAAATTAAACGAATGAAAGAAGTTTTCTTCTAAAAGTTTACATTGCATATGAAACTAAAATTTTCTCAATAGAAACAAGAAACATAAAATGCAAACTTGGCAAGTAATACAAAAATATTTTGAACCTTATGCCTTTATCTATTAAAGATAAAAGGGAATTTTGTCCTATTCGCACAGATTCACTGGTAATGACGGGTATAATAAAAAATAATAGACAATGAATAGGTATAACATATATTTTCATTGTCGTGTTTGGTGTTCATTCGTAAAACATATATATTTCTTAAAGCTTTTTACAAAGTTTACTGTGTAGTTTATATGCAAAAAAATTAATAACTTATTTGACAAAATAACATTAGTTGTACCATGTAATTAAAAAAAAAATTGGGAGGAGGTGAAATGGAAAATGAAAGTTTGCGTAGTATACGTATATAGTACATATATAAAAAAATACAGTTTTGGTGTTGTACACCGCTCTACCTCCGATAGTCGCAACCCGCGGGTTCTATGCTTAGCAACATTTGTATTCACGAATACGATTGTTTGTATCGGTTTTCTATATATTACTAGCTACCCGCTCTTGTTCCGCATGGGTGTATATATATATATATATATCTTTATCTTGAATCTCTTTGTCTATTGCTAAAAACTACATTACAAGCCGTTGTGTATTTTATAAGATCTAAGCGAACAGACAGCGGAAGCTACTTCATTTTATACTATGTGAAAATGTATGTATGTATGTATTTACAAATAAACCGTATTTGTATCACTTGTCTAGTACCCATAAAAACACGCTCTGCTTGGCTTGGGACAGTGAGATGGGAGTACAAGCTGCTGTGCGAAATTGCGAATTGAAAAAAAAATCTCGGGATATTGAATTTTCGGTAAATTTTTTGTCTTGAATTTTGTGTATCATAGCGGTATTATTCCAGAAGAATAACGCCATCGCTCAGATTAATTATGTTTTTAATTTATATTTCTGACTAACACTTCGATGATGCACCGAAAAGTTGTAATTTACAAACAACGATAGATAGATAGCAGAATGATTCGAACTCAGAACCTTTAACTCTAAGTCGGGTAGTAAACCACTAGTTTTAATTTAGCCTTAAAACGTGATAATAAGAGTTATGGCTGAAATAGACTTTGTAAAAAGACATCTACATGGGAACCTTAGTCTCACCTATTTCAGTCTATAAGCTGCTTACTTTGTAAGGTGTGATTCTGTTCTCCGTGAAGTAAGACATTGGAATTAAACAGCTAAAGGCATGACATCTTATTCTTTCCTAGTAAGAATTGTTTTATTTTAATGTTAATAAATGGTCATCAAAATTTTGAATTTGCTTTCTTTAGCCTCATCTCCTAAAAAAAACTACAAAATATATTTCTATTGTCTATTCCCAATTATTCTCTATGGAAAATCGCCATTGTCTATGGAAATCTTTGAGATTCTCTATGGATTAAGTAAGCGGAAATCCCACTGAAGGCATATTACCAAAATAATAATATTGTGCACTTTCTCAATGTACTATTAATTAAAAAGACGCACAAATCTTATATTTATGTAAAACTAATTGTATACTATAATTTTCTATTATACTTTTCTAGCAAATCGTTTTATTTAACTAAAAGTTTTTAATTACTTCACAAATGAAGAATCTTAGAATTCTATTTGACCGGAAGTACTAGTCCTCCGACATGTTTCGTGAAACCCCGTTGTTTTGTATCAAGAAAATGCAATGGCCGCCATCTTCGACTCTTGTGAATGTTTTGATCGTAGTTTCGAACTTTGAGGCCTATTTCATGTGTACTATGCGATTTTATGATGGAAACAGTTTCGCTACATCGTAGGTGTTAATAAATATTTCGCGCAAAGGTTAGTACAGATTTCTTACAGTATTTTATTAAAAAGTGTTTACATCTGGATTTCATAGTTCGTAACTATTGTGATGCTGTCATATTGGGTAAATATATAGTAATTTCAATTAATTATCCCCTACTGGTTGTTGTAATTTCTATTTTAATTCATTAATATGTTTTTCACTTGATATAATCATACGAACCTCATTTTTGTATATGCATACATTTCGAAGCCCTTTGTTACTATGCGAGATCGGTGATTATGTTACACGTTTATATATACTTAATTTAAGAATATTATTAATTGGTTTTAGTTAAATATTGTCTTTTAAGTTTGTGTTTACTTTTCTTGATGTTTATTGCCTAGACATTTCTGTTTCCGTGCGACAATAATGGCGGCAGTGGATTAACCTATTCACATATTTATTGCTTTTATTCTGCTGTGGCTGTAGTGTCAGTGTAAAAATATGGTTTTATTATTATAATTTTGCCGTAGGATACAATTTAAAGTGACTTGCCTCTTGATTCTGGAACAATGACCTCGAGATTCGTATCTGTAGTAGTGTAATAGTGTCGGACTAAAAATATTTTTATCCGAAATCATGGTGCACAACGTCCGTATTCTAGAAGATTTCGAAGATATATGGGTAAAAAGTCAATTTTCAATTGCAGTCACATGAAATAAATTTGGAGGCCGAAGTGCTCTCCAAGGCGTCATCTCGGGCTTGACCCAAGATGATAGTATTTACGGTATGTCAGCCACATCAGAATATGAACCTACGGCCCGGCAAGTGAGTAAAACACAATTTTCTACTCTAATATAGACTTGGTCATTATTATAATACATAATCAATAGGCTTTGCAGTACCATTGTCAGAGCTTTCTTATTATTATTAATTATTATTTTATGGTACAATAATATTTCAAATATAATGTTTATTATTGTGGTCCTCATCCTCATAAAATTATGCTGAAATATATAGAATCCTTTACTTAATTTTCTTCTAGATATAGTCAATAGGATTCTTCTTTGTTTCTGCTAGTTTCAAATGCTAATAAAAAGCTCTCCTGTTGTACATTATATTCACTTGTGTGTTGTTTATATATGCTATTATTATTAAAAGTACATTGATATGTCATATGAACTAATTAAGTCAATCATCAATTGTATGTGAATATTGTGGCTAATAAAGATTTTTTACTGAAAGTGTATTCATTACAAACCTCTTTAGTTTCCAATTATTTAAAGCTTTGCAATTTTACCTGTAGGGTGAGTTGAATACTTTTTTTTATTTCCTATTTATTGTTCTGGTCATTATCAGGACTACTGAATGAGGGCATTTCATATGATTGTCACTACATTATTCAAGTTGTATTTACAATATATGTTGATTGTATGATAATACAAATGTATGGGAGAGAGGGAGCCAACTAACCAAGTGTATACTGTTTAAACATGTAAAACGGAAGATTGCTTTTGAAGTGACAGTATGCAAGTAACACCGTAACAAAATTATGTTTATAATATATGTATAATATGTGACCTTGTTTTAAGCGAATTGTGTATGTTATGTAATTGCACAAATTTTAAATGTACATTTGCCTAATTAAAATTTTAAATTGCCATTTACAAATTTAACCATTTATGTTTTTATTTTATAGGATTACGGGCCGGCCACCTCCAGTGAAAATGTGTATGAACATTTATTGGATCACAAATTAGCAGATAATATGAATGTATCAAGTGTAAGGACTCCTGTGTTACGGGCTGTGCCCATTTCTCCTACGGAGGGTGATCCCGAACCCGACTCTACTAACCCTGAGAGCATTATTCAGGCTGTACAGAATAAAATAGATAAAGAAGTAGAATATCACATTGCAGAGAAGAGATGTGATACAGATATGTCTGTTGATACCCTTTCTGGAATTGTTAGAATTGAGGAGACTACTCTAGATAATGTAGGACACATTACCTACCCAATAATACAAGAAACGGATGACTCCAATGATGGTAGCTATGTAGAGAATTCTGCAACTCTCATCCAAGCCCCATTAAATACAGCAATTGTTCAAAATGTTACTAAATTGCCACAGAATTTCACAATAAATGTGGACACAGCAGCGGGAAACATCACAGCTATACAAAATGTATCCCAAGATGTTTCAGGCAATCAAACTTTATGGCTGCCCACCACAATCCTTGCAACCAGTGCCCCTACAGATAGTAAAAGTGATGATGACCAGTCACAAAATGGGGTGTCTCAGATAATAATTACCAGTGAAAGTTATGTTAATGATACCAATCAAGTAGGTAGAAGAGCTAATATTGTCACAGAGACAAATTATGTGAATCGTCCAAAAGCATCCAAAGTTCAGATATTAAGTAATATATCTATTCCTAAAAACCCTACTTATTCTCCACAATACATCACTCAGGGTAAAGAAATAGCACCATCTCATTTCTACAAATGGAGCACAAATGTAGTTTCTCAGAAACATTTGAATAATTCAGTGCTATGTACAAAACCGCCAAAAAATCAAACATTAAATCAATCACTAATTGGATGTTCATCCCTGGCCCCTAATGTTATAAACAACAGCCCAATTAAAAATGTTTCTTACAGTCATACTTTTACTAAGGGCACAAATTTAAATAAAGCATTAAATAAGGTTAACAATGGTGCTAACTTAAATGCTATTGTTGCTGCATCTTCTGGCAACACACAGTGCCATATTCTATCAAGAGTTGTTTCTGGTCCTAACAAACTGTCCGTTCATTCAGGAAGAAAGTCTGTGAACGCAATGAAAGGATCAAAAAACTCGAATCAAGTGTCAGGACAAAAGAACCAATCCAGAGCTATCAAAATAATACAGCAAACTGGTGCAGCTCATAAATCAGAAACTAAACCTTCTAATGTTACTTACAAAAACCAATCAACTCAACAATCAGGATTTAGTAGTACTGATTCAAAAATAATACAGAAAGTTGGAAGTCCAACTGACAAGCCAAATGTTCAACAGCAGCCTTTGTCTGTTCAAAAACTTCCTTCGAAGGGAGAGCGCTTAGTGCTCCAGTCACCTGTTGGGCCAGTGTTGATCTCGACTGCTCCAATAAGTACAAGTTTACCCAAAGGGCCCCATTATGTCCAATCAGGATCTACACCAAATTTACGTTACGTCCAAACCTATGGTCCCACAGACAATCAGATCTCCGCTGTATCACAAATTTCAGCTAATCAACAGCTTACAGCTCAAATATTGCAGTCATTGTCGCAGCCTAAGTTAATGTTGCAGTCAGCTCCCAGCCCAGTTGTGACTACTGTTCTCACTACACCCACGATAAATATGGAAGAAATTATATCAATAAAACCAACCAATCAAAAGAGAATTGTCTTGTAAGTAACATTAGTTATTTCGTACAGGTTGGCTGTCAAGAGTATACCAAGCTACATTGATAATAAACCTGAAAGAACAAATTAGCAATGAATTCAACCAATATTCCTTTAGAAATTGACCTTGGTAATCTGTTTTACTTGTCTCTACCATAGATTGTTTCTCCTTATGAGTATGATTATTCACACCTTCCAGGTAAAAGCTGTGGAAGAGACAAATGAAACACAGGCTTGGTATACTCAGGTCTGATCCATTTTAATGAAAATGTATAATTTACTATAATTTCTTTGTTTTATTAATTGTGTCTAATTTTGTTGTTATTTCTTTACAGTGGCGACAAATCGACTTTACTGACCGCAGATGATATAATAGGTATGGAGGAGAGACCAAATTTATCTGAAGAATTGAGACGGTATTCATTCCAAACATTGGCATTCATTATGCTGGATCATACCTATGCTCTTCCAGCACAGAAACAACCTTCGACCACTACTCCAATTACTACAGTATCTACTGCAACAACTACTATTGCTTCTCCAACTCAAACCACTTCACCAATTAGTCCCATGAAGAGAAGTTCTCCAGTTATAATGTCCACATCAACATTGGAGTTACCAGTAACAGTGCCAACCAGCGTAATAGCTCCTCCAACACCTGTGACCACCATAAGTAATGTACAGATGGGAGCTATAACATACAAGCCACAGCCACAGCCGGCACAAGATGATGATGCAGCCTCAGTAATATCATCTCTGGATGGCGATAGGGCGCAAGCACCAAGAGGAGGTAGTGATACGGAGACTGCACCTGAGGGTGAAGAAGAAGGCAAGACGAGATGTATTTGTGACTTCACCCATGACGATGGCTACATGATATGTTGTGATCGATGTGGCGAGTGGCAACACGTCGACTGCATGGGTATTGATCGGCAAAACATACCAGACGCGTATATGTGTGAGTTGTGCTTGCCACGGCTTATTGATCGCCGTCACGCACGAGCTATACAATTAAGAAAACGAGAAGAACTAAGTGCTATGGGGGCTTCGGACTCTGACTCATCCGAAAGTAGCCGCCACCCTGGACAAAGAAGAAAGCGTTTGTTAACTGTTACTACTTACACAAATACCAGTGGTTCATTTGTAACCACGTACAATTCAAACATACCAGTATTGCCACCGCTACCGCAGCCATCAGTACCATTACCAAAGCGTGGCCCTAAAAGACCCAAGAAAGCAGAAGTTGTGAGGAAGGGAACCAAACGAAAACTATCAGAAAAGAGGGTTAAACGTAAGAAAGAAATTATGATGAGTAGAAATAAATATAATACGAACTTATCAAATCAGTCACATTGGCAAGATTCATATGAACTTGCTATGACTAATCATTATAGCCCTGAATTGCGTGCTAAAATTGTTAAATACAGTAGTAAATTGGGTAACACACCAAACATGGCATCTGCAATAACTGCTCATTTGTGTACCACTGTACCTCATGCCGGTGGAAAAATCCTTATTTCAACTAAAGAGTTGAAGGAGAATACTCCTATAATTGAATTGAGGGGAAAATATATGCTGTCAAATCAACATCGGCCGCAATTACAAAATTCCGCCAGGGCAGGAAGTCAGAAGCCTGGTCCATTTGTCTTCTTCTATAGATTACCCAAAGATAACACCCAAATATGTATTGACACAAGAACATATGGAAACGAAGCGAGATTCGTACGCAGATCTTGTAAGCCTAATGCTGAACTTCAGCATTGCATTGTCAAAGGAGCATTACATGTTTATTTGGTTACTATTGGAGTTATACAGTCTAACACAGAAATTACTGTGGGACATGACACAGATGGTAGTAAACAGCCATGCGCTTGTGGCAACCCCAAACATTGTAAGGTGAATGGTCTAAATTCTATGGTATCAAGAAAAAGTGTTGACTATCCTAGGGAGAAAAGAAGTAGAAATCGATGTTTCAGCTCATCATCTCCACTATCACCGCCACCAGAGCCACCGCAACCGACTACTCCAATCAAAGAATTTACTCCGAGTACTCCGAGTTTGCCTGTCAAAGTTGAAAAGAAGTCACCTATCAAACAGGAATGTTCACCAATGTCACCAATAAAGGAAAATATTACACCCTACAATTATGATCACCTGACATTGCAGGACATAAAACCTGAAATAGACTTGCTTTCAAAAGAGGAATTACAACCAGAAATAGATGAACCTGACTATGCGCCAATACCAGAAGAAAAGCCAAAGCTTGAGGCTCCATCGCCAATTAAACCTGAGCCTGATCCAGAGCCAATTATTGAGGACATAAAACCTACGAAAGTGGAAAACGAAGTTCTACCTGAAAATGATAATTTGTTTTCTGATGAAGAAAAAATTGAGAAGGTAGAAGAGAAATTTACTATAAAAGAAGATGAACCTAAAGATGAGGTGAAACAAGAGATTAAACAAGAAGACGACAGGCCAGCGACTCGAGAGTTTACCGCAAAGTCGGCTTGTCACGACAGGTCTTCAAGATCTAGTAGAACAACCTGTGTCAATCAGGATTCTTTAGATGACAAAACTGATGACTCTCAAGATAAAATACAGACGGTTAATAAAGAGAAAGATAAAAGAAAAATGGTAAGATTAATATATATTTATATTGTGAATTATTCTTTTAGTGTTGTTAATTTGATTTTTACTTAAAACTCACTTTAATATTTCAGACACGCGAGGAAAGAAAAATGGAAGCGATAATGAAGGCATTCGAAAGAATGGAAAAAGCAGAACAGCGTAAACAAGAAGTAAAAGAGAGGCAGAAGAGGAGAGAGTCCGATCCTCATCCTAATGCAACAGAGAAAGAAGACGACGAAGATGTACATAATTCTTCCAAGAGACGTAGAAAGTAAGTAGTTAAATGAAAGTATGGCTATTTATGTAAAATAGTTAAATTAACTACTTAATTAATTAAAAGTAATATAAAATAGATTGAATGGTTAAAGGCCTCGATTGGATGAAGTAACGCCTCATCTAATCGGGACCTAGTTCTTATTATATAAATTAAATATACTACGTTATGCTCATATTGCATACTGCTCATTTAATTTAAAAAGATGACAACTTATAGTTCTCTTGTAGGCCTCGTCTATCTTCCGATCCGATCGATCCTCCGTCCACCCCTCCGATCGATTTCCCGTCCAATTCAAACGAGGATCGAAATTACGACGATGAGCTAAGGTTCGATGTCGGCCTTCAGCCGTTCTAGAAGTCCTTCCGCGGGTTCGTAGTCACCCCCTATCGTCCGACGTAGCTGTAAAGGCCCGGTGTTATAATATTGTCAGAATTGGCTTTACTGTTTGATATGTCGGCGGCGGTCCGTCGTATCCGTCATCCACACTTTCTAGGACTCGCTGTGGGTACATTAAATGTGAGGGTACACGTGGTACGTTGGTTGTGCAGACGCAAGGGTCGCGCGCGGACGACGTCGCAGTGCACCCGGCGGCGGCTGGACTCGGGCGACAGCGAGCTGGTCACGTCGCCCGACGAGGCGCACCACTCGCCCTCCCCGCCGCCCGCGCCCGCGCCGCGACACCTGCTGCCGCCGCACACACAGGTACAGCTACCGATTACAGCCCCGCCCGTGTGACGGTCGCGGTTTCGATGGCTCGCAATTAATATTTGTTTTCATGAGTATGATCGTTTGTTTCGATCTGGGTGTATCATAGATCTCCTTTTAAAAAATGTCTAGTATCTATATTACCAGTGGCCGCGGCATCGATGCCTCACGAAAATATTGGTATTCATGAGTATGATTGTTTGTATTTGTCTGGGTGTATTGCATAAATTGTTTAGTATCTTAACACGAGATCTGCTTAGTTTGGGGCTAGATAACTACATTGCCCAGAAATAATAATTATTAATTGATGTAATATGTATGTTTTCTTATCATCAACAAAACAAATTTTTATGTCCTGTGACAACGAATTCTCGTCATCATGTTGACAAATCAAATAACATTTTCTATATGACTAGTGGTTTTTGATGTTATAAAATATTGTTAATTCTTTATTTTAGAAAATATGGACGCAACAAGTGAATCCATATACTACGCATATTATAAATATACCCTTACAACACAAGTTGCTCTGTTGCATTCGCGATCATATCTATACCACCACCTGTATTGTTTTTTCAAATGTGTTCTGTCTTTGAATTCTTTTAGTTACGATCCATTAGTATATATACTTAAGAATATATTTTTTCAGGATCTGGGACTTAGCTCGGCTTGTTTATTAGTAGAGGCGGCAGTTGGGTCGGTAGAGTCGACTTTCAAACTGCCCAAAACGAAAAAGACTATCGCAACAGAATGGATAGGACGGTCCCCTGAACGGACGCCATCCCCTTATCGTTCTCCGTACCAACCTTCTTTAGTAGCGGCAACTTCGTTGGAAAGCCTCGTCCAAGTTGCGTCCACTATGATTGGTGATTTGAGTGGATCCCAAGACATAGATCACGAGGGAGATAACGCTCATTCCTCACCGCCTAGAACGCCTCTTAGAGACAGAAATAAACCTCCGAAAAAAGCTAGAAGGATTACCAGAAACACACCTCCAACAGAAGTAACTGAAGTGGCCCCAATAATAATACCGCAGCACAGTGCCAAGAAGAGATGGTTGCGACAGGCTATTAGTGAAGAGAGTGACTCACCTTCTGCAGGTAAGAAAACCTCTAAATAAAAATAATAGTAAATAAATACTTGTAAATGAACAGCCCATACTATGTTTAAATATAGATGTATTTGTTTCAGAATCCCCGCCTAATGAAATGATAACCCCATTAAAGAAGAGGAGGTTAGCGAGAGAATCATTGTCTTGCGACCAGAATCCAATTGTGCCTGTAAGTGTCCCTTATAAGTAAATGTAACATATATCTAGGCAATTATGTAGTCTGATTACTAATTAATTTTATTTGTACAGTGCATTGGTGAAGTCTCGCCTGTTTTAACGTCAGAGGACTCTCCAGTAAAGGATGATCCGCAAACTGTTACTCGGCAATACGCAGTACGAAACATAATGGATAATATTTATGGTAGGGACCGGACAAGGTCTGACAGCGGCCAAGGTTCAGACGATCAGTGCAATATGGATAACGATGTTTTGAATTTAAATATAGTTCCACATGACACTGAAAATATAAGAAGGATAATTGGTGTGCCGCCTACCACTGAAGAGTACCGGTTGCTACCTGCGATAACGAAACCAGAAGATATCAAAACCAATAATAACAATGTTGATGTTGAAGACACCAATTACAACAAAGTCGTACCTATGGACATAGACACGACGGTGTCAGCTCAGCCTAAACTGGAATCTAATGAGAATAGCAACAGTGATATTAAAGGTATAGATAGTCCAAATGACAAAATAAACAGTTGTCAATCAGCGGACACTAGTGGCAACTCGTCTCCACAACGCGACGAAATGGATGATATACAGAAAAAAATTCATTCGTTCCATACAGAGAACATACAAATACTAAAAAGTAGAAATAAAAAGCCTAAAGAGAAACGGAAGAAGGTGAATTTGAACTTTGATCTCAACATGGTGGATGACCAAATCAGTATTCAGCTGCGTACAGAAAACGACACGGCGATTAATGGCGATATCCATGAAGATTTCAGCAACGTGTCACCTGAGAATATCCCATTGCCATCTGTAGAATCTATACCATTGCCTTCGCCGAAAAATATACCTTTGCCAGAAGATCCCAGTCCGTTGTCATTGATACCTCCACCAGAGGCTATCCCACTGCCAGAAGAGCCAATGACGCCAACGAAACCCATCAGAGCGGCTTCGCCCATTGAAAAAGCCGACGAGAAGCATTCTAGTGACAGCGACAAATCGTCGACACTGGATAACACGACGTTACAATTCTCTTCGCGTTTCAGTTCAACAGGACTATTTTCTGGAATTTTCAGCAATATGTACCAAAGTTTCAATAAAGACAACCCCGTTAATGAAAATGTGCCGTCTATAATAAAGAGTGCAATAGATAAAACTACAAGTTTAGATAATAGTATAGTGGAAAAAGACACGCTAGTGGACGAATTTAAAAATGTTCATGAAATATTGAACCGTGTGAACAATATGGACTCTAATAACAGTGTGATATTATCGGGGGTGTTGAAGAGCTCGAACAAGTCGGACCTGTTGTCGCCCACTCCGAAGACGAGCAGCAAGCCCTACTGTCCGAGGAACAACGACCCTCGGCTCAACCCGCCGCCTGCTGAGAAACCGAAACCGGTCAGAAGGAAGGTATGTAAATTGTATCCAATGACATAATACGAACTATATGTTACATTACACTATCAATAAATATCTAAATGGGTTCATGATAAGATAAAAAATAATCATTGACACAGATAATTTTATGTATACAATTATAAATGCATGTTATATCTCAAAATTTAATTTCTTGTATAGAAGTTATAGAAAGAAATATTTTTATATTGAATTGTTGATTTCTCAACATTTTTTTATAGGATGTGATCATGTTCTATTAGTGCATCCATCGAACAATGTACTGCTAATGAAGCAATGATAATCAAATAGATATTTTATTAACACTGCTGTAATAATTTCTAGTAGTAATAAAGTAATTGTATTAATAATTAATAACAGAAAAAGAAGCTGTTTTTAGGTGTATTTTATATTGAATATTTTATTACATCAAGCCATCATTTAGTTTGCAAGTTTCTTTATTATTCTAAAAATATGATAGCAGATAAATGAAAATAAAAACATATTGCAATGCAAATAGTCAAGAGTCAAATTACTGTATAGTCTTCAATGTTATTTATAAGCTTTTCAGAATGTACTACTGACAGTACATATATATTATGAAATGACGTTCCGATGCAGTAACAATGGTCTGTCACCTCATCTCGACAAGATAGCGTCAAGACGCATATCAGTAGTGTAGTTGACCTAACATTACGATAGTTATGGTTCAAAACATATCTACTAACATTTGAACACAATTCATGTTTCACAGCCTGAACGTAATTTAAATGTAAAACGCTTTTGTTCAAATATATAACATATCCTCAAAACTAAAACACTCGCTCATCTCGCAATTTTCTAGACTACGAAGTGATTCAAAGCACTTTAAGACGGCTATAAACGTTCAATAGGTGTTCGAAGATGTCAAATCTGACAGATTAAAAATCTTTTTAGAGTCGTAACCACTGTGGGACGAATCAGAACCATGATTTGGAAAACAGTTTTTATGTGTTTATTTTTAGAAATCTTTAACAGCAGTACATTAATGTATGCACACAATACAAATGTTTTAATTAAATTATGCTAGCGCCCGTCCCCGCTTTGCATATGGATGCATTACCAAGTCTTTCAATTTGTCGGCTTGTTCTATACTATAATACGCATGTATTATACATATAAATCTTCCTCTAGAATTACTCTATATATTGCTGTAAATTCCATTGAAATATGTTGCATTATTTAAAAGATATAGGCGAAGATACAGACCGCGGCGGTGATTTCTGCTGATTCTGCTGATGATTTCTGCTGTGTAAAATATAAATAAAACATTTAAAAAATAAAGATATCAGAAAAGAAAATTCTTATATGGGGGTAAAAATCGTGTTGTATAAAACGTATACTGTTCCTACGAATTTTTGAAACATATATAGAACGCGAGTTTTGTATGTGAATATGTCACAAGTGTGTACACCCAAATGCTTGTTCCATTGTGTCTGTGATTTTACTGGAAATCTGCCGTGTTATGTCTATCAAGTCCCATTGCAGACAAGGAAGTACCAGCTAAATAAAAAATACATGGAATGATGCATTCGTCCGCGCTAATGGTTAACTCATGTGGGGCACCAGTGGAGGAGGATAAGATGAGCGTGAAGTTAGATCAGTTAGCCTATCGTGACAAATTCACCAAGAATTTATAACGATGGTTTCAAGGCGAAACCGCGTGGAGGTCAACCTGATATTAGCAATAAGATCATCAATCCACTTCACTAACAATTCCCTTTCCCCCCCACTAATTAATAGTATAACAATACCGCTGTACTCGGCTGTAACAATTAATAATACGAAATTGTCAATAGCTCTCTATCAGTGAGTACCGCAAGCGGCTCAAGGGACCGGGCCCGGGCGCGGGCGGCTCGGAGGGGAGCGTGGAGGGCGCGGAGGGCGCGGAGAGCTCGGAGAGCGGCGAGGGCGCGTGCGGCGCCGACGGCGACCACGACGCGCCCGACGGCGAGCCGCCGGCGCCCGGGGCCGAGCCGGCCGGCGGCGGCGGCGGCGGCGGCGGCGGCGAGGCGGACGCGGGCCCCGAGTGGTCGTCGGAGTCGTCGGCGGCCGCGTCGCTGTCGCCGCAGCGGCTGGACGTGGTCGCCGCGCAGGCCGCCGACGAGCTCGAGCAACGCCTGCACAGGGAACTCGCCTCGTCGCACACCTTGAAAGGTAAACAGTTTTTGTAGTCTTTGATCTCAATTTTGTAAACGCAACAGTTTGTATGGATGTTTATTACTCTTTCACGCAAACCCTACTGAACACACTGTACAAAATTTCATGATGATCGATCATGGAATTTTATACACATGTTCTTGGTGGTATTAGACTGAACATTCCGATCCTTTTTATAAAAAAACTTAACAACTAGTTAGTTTTATAAGAAACAAAAAATAAAATATCAACATTCTGCTACGCCTAGCGCCATCTAGCAGCCAGTAATGAATTATAAATCAATTGTAATGATCTCCGATACTTAGTTATTAAATGCGAGCGAAGCCGCGGGTAAAAGCTAATAGTTTATACATATGAATAACATATAGGCTATAATTTCACGCGGGTGAAACCGCGGGCAAAGCTAGTCTATATAAATATAATAATAGTATATAAATATAGTCTATAATAATGGTATGGGAGGGGTAAGAATACAAATGTTTGTATCGTGCGAGGAATAGCACCCGCGACTATCGGAAGCAATGCGATGTCTAAACCGCTAGACCACCGGGGTCAATATAATGATTGTAAAAATGTGAATGTAATACGTCATTCACTATTGTATAGGTTGTGACGAAGATTTCAATAGATCGAGTTTTGCATAAAAATTGTCTTGTAAACATGAATGCAGCTATCCAATTAGAATAAATTATCATTCACGGTCTACAAGCTCGACTAATTGAACTGCGCAAATGCTATTCGCCCTACCACTCGTCATTGTCGATTTGTGGTCATGCACCCGACATAGATTCGCAGAATGCACTTTCTAATAGTACCGTTAATGTAATAGATTGCACTTTAAACATATATATGTAATACATATAATGCTCTTTGCATCATGAAATTAATTTTATTGTATCTCTGGTGTTGTATACAAATTTGGTTATGTTTTTTAATATGTTATTGAAATATAATGGCAAACAAACGAACACCAAAACGTAGTATGTAAATAAACATAGTAGTAATAAACAAAAACCAAGTAAGTCTAAGAATCGGCTACTATCTATTTTTATACCCCTCAGTGATAAGATTTATCCACCCCTAACATTTTTATTTATTATTGTATAACATGTGACATTAATAAATACATAAAACACTATATTTTCACCCTTCTACCATGAACACATATTTTTTAATAGTAATTTTAATTTATATGACAAAACAACGATCAATTAGTAAAAATATAGTTTCTTATTGCCTAGTGCATATACACGAACAATTTTTATCAAATATGCCAGATAGTTTGGTTGATGTTGCAATATTGAATGTGAGCGAAAGGATGCATGCAGCCACCGTGTACTCTTGCACAACCACAATGCAACTGATCGGTCGATTCTAACGTAATGAAATTAAATTTTACAGGGCTAGATAAAATCAAATGAAAAACCGTTTATACATTTTAGTCGCTTGTGACGTCAAATTTTATATATTAATGTAATATTTTTTAGCTACTACGTTTTGGAAAGGGAGTCTGCGTGGGATACCTTTATTTGATTTATTTCAGCTGTCAAGCAGCCATGCGAATATTTGTTTTATTATTATTTGCTTACGTAATGGTAAACAAGCTGACGGTGCACCCAATGGTAAATGGCAACCGTCGCCTGTATACATAAATAGCACCATGGACATCAGGGTATCATGACATCCCTGATACCACTCAATGTGTCCTTAGTCGTCTAGAATGACTGTCATTCTAGAGTACTAAGGTGTCATACCACTTATCCTGTAATTTCACTACTTAATCTTACTCTACAATCGAAAAAATTTGTTTGTAAACTGTTACACTTTTTATTCTGCCCTCTAGTCACCACTTTTTGCCTCAAGCCACTATCCTCCCTCTGGCTACCACATCTAGGACTTGAGCCGTGAAGTTACATTGTTATTATTACTATGGATTATAAGCAAATAAAACAATTATTTACTACCATAAAGTCTCCAGTAAAAGTCAGGGCCGCGACCTTGAAGTTAAGAACAGAATTGCGTTGTAACAAATATAAAACTTAATTATTCATACAGTATGCCTGTTTTTATACGTACAAGCCATACAAATAACTAAAGAGTGAGGTAATCACTGCACCAAGTACCGACTGTTATTGTGAGACATAGCACGCCTCGAAATATGGCAGTTTGCCAGATGAACGTGCATGTATATTTTATCTCCATTACATTTTGATTGTGTATAGCGAGTGGGCGATACAGTATAATGCTACTCGTGAGTGGCTTGACCGCGATTTATTCGCATTTTATCATTTATTTATACTCTGCATTCCAACAAATACAGAAAAAAACTAAGTATATATATAATTTAATATCTTAAGACAATTCACACCACGCCATCTAATCGCAAGCTAAGCAGAGCTTATGTTATAAGTGGTAGACAATATTTAAATACATGAATACATTTTTTTTAAATAAATACATGTTATATATAAGTAACCAAAGTATACATTAACTAATAGAAAAGACACAATCAATCGCCAATTCAATCTCTTCCAGACTACATTTGGGTGCATAGATAAAGTAAAAAAAAACCAGCGAGCGAGTCAGTAATAAAAACAATAAATATAGGATCAAATCGCGACGTGTTTTAGAGGAATGTCTAGTAGTTGCGTTTAGAATATGTTTAAATATATGCGAGTGGGTAATTGCGTTTTATATGAGGTCGCGGAACAAACATGCGTTTAATTCCATTAAATTGTTATTAATAATTTTATTGACTGCCTCGGTTATCCAGTAGTTTTATACATAGTCTTCCTATGATAACGGCATATACTAAATCCAAATATCTTTATTCATGTATGTCTATTAGAGACTCTTATGATATGTCAAATCTACCGTCCGAGCGGAGTGCTTTTGAGAGCTTGCAGAACTGACAAGAAGCAACTCTTATTCTTTTCAAATGAGTTTATATATATACAATATATCCAGTGCTCCAATTATTTAAAAGCCGCATCAAAATCGGTGTTGATCCGTTTGTGAGTTATGATAGCACAGATAGAAACTTCACACACTTAAAATTCACCTCTTCAAATAGACTACAGATGTATTAGTAGTTAAAAAGACATCAATCTCTTTTATAAATAAATTTGTATTTTATCTAAAACAATAACTATTTTTGTTACGATATCGAATTGTTTAACAATATTAAATCATATTATTATTTGAGCGTTTGAATGTAAATATAATACTGATAAGGCGGTTTGATAACACTGGAAATAGCTTTTAACTATCTAGTTAATGAGTTTACGCAACAATGTATTGTTTTTTTTTTAAGGGTATGACAAAAAATCGTATCATTACCAAACACTTAAAACTTTGTGAATAGGCCAACTTAAAAAAAAGTAAGCGCTATAGTTTTTTGAACTGCCACAGAACTTTGATGACTACACATGAATGGTGTCACATGATAACGTGATATCAGTACACCTATGGTTGTTAGCCACATAGCAAAATTTATATAGATATAATATGCTTAATTGCAGGTGTGTTCGATGCTCAGCCAACGGCATTGGAACTACAGCGGGAGAACTTGAGTTCTCGGTTGCGACGAGAGTTCGGGCTGGCGCTTCCGGACGACGAAGAGGCCCGCCCGCCCACGGACAACGGTACGACTTGCGCGCACATTGCCCATCAGGCCATACACACACATACAGACAAACACAACATGCGGTAAGGGTATTGACCCTTCATGATTCTGCAAGAGTGGGACCTGGAGGTTCGTGGTGACTCATCAGTGTTTTATATATTTTTATGTAGTGATTAGTTAGTATTATATATTTATGTATACAGTGTTATTTGTAGAGAGTATAGCAAGTATTAGACTTTATGAAAGAAAATTGATATAAATAATACTATACGAACAGCGCGACACGTAATAAATTTATAATGAGTGTGTGAATTATTTTTCATAACTGCATTTTGGTTTTTGATGACTAGTTCAGTTTTCATGAGCAGAATACTCTTGAAAACTGAACTGAACCTAACTTTAGTAGGCTTACCATATCTTTCATGAATAAACTTGTGTATCATATATATGTATATTACTTTCTGTAAATTATTTGTAGTTTATAGCAGAGTATAAAATGATTTGGTTTCTTAAAACAATATATGTATATGTTTTTATTATTCAATGGTAACCAGAAGTATAGGTAACCACGATTGCTCCAAAGGATCAGACATTATTTAGTGTACCTGTAGAAGTATGTAATTTTTGAAGTTGTATTTTGTCCAACAGATGGCGCGGCTTCGAAGCGGTGCGACAGATAGAGGCGGCCGGAGTCGCCCCTGTGCGCATATAAATAAGACATATTTTTGTAAATCTCACGTCGGCGCCGGCCCGTCGCCTGTATTATCATAAAATTAATATAACTTTTATATGACTCGTGTAAGGTGCGCTAGTGCGCGTTTGTATATTTCCGTTTCTTCTGTTTTTAATTTTCACGGTTTCTCTGCAAGTACAAATTGTTTTTATTTCCCCCTTTGTACATATTGTATATAGGAGTTAAGGTAAAGCTAGGTAAACTACGCAGATTATATGTATGTATAATGGTATAAAAGATTTTTTATATATGTACAATGTTTATGTATCCTATATTTATTTATTATAATTGACCTATCGGTAGTGCGTTTAGATGCGTTAGATAGGGACTTTTTGTACGCTAATGTTTAAGTAAATTATAGTTGTTTTTATTATTTGTTTTACCTTTTGTAGCGTATATAGGGGGCCCGCGGGCTCGTCCTAGAGATGTAGGTCTTGTTAGTGTTACAGATTTCACATGTACTAGATGATACGAAATCGCATTAGCCATTTTATAGGTTAAATCTGTGTTATGAGGGGCATCCATAACTTACGTCACACATTAACGGATTGGTGAGTGTTCGAAACAATGTGACACAGTGGGACAAGGATGGGAGGAGTTATAAATGTCGTGACGTCACATTTCAAAGTCTACATATTTTCAAGTTGTAAAAACATTTTCATAATAGCCAATTGTTTAGGGTTATATTTGGACAACATAAGGCATACAGTGTGTTGTGATATACCGGTAAATGATTAAATATTTTTATTCCACTTGTATAGGTACTTGTACAGTAAATACACAACTGAACAGATGTCATATCTATATTGTGATCTTATTCTTAATTTCACTCCTTTTTGCAAAAATGAACCTTAATTTCTTTTATAAATTAAGTTATTTCAATATACACGTCAAGGTTAAAATATAAATTTCTAAATATAATGTAAAATATGTGACGTCTCACTTGGAAGGGCAAGTCTTACAAATGTGACTAACAATGACAAGAACGAGGAACAGTAAAAATAATGAAATTGTTGTGACGTAAATTACGGATGACCCCTAATTTAAGAACGCGCGTTGTCACACGTGTCAAGTTTGTACGTTGCGTGTGGGTCGCCGATTGTTAATGAAATACTTGACGCGAGGTCCAAACTTGGCACCTGCGAGGCATGCTTGGCGATGTTTCGTCTTGAACCTATCATCACAAGGTCGTATGTTGAGGCAGCTGGGTTATGAATGTATTGTTGTTTGGTCTTACACGGTTTTCACAAATTCCTATTTCATTTGTAAATTAATGTTCGCTTGACACCGTTGTGGATGGTCTTTGTTTGCGTAAATTGTTTTTAGAACTGTGATTCGAGCATTCGTCTGAATGTTAGTTGTGTAATTTTTATTTTATAATAGTTTACGCCGCCCCTTTTCATAGTTGTCTATATTGGCATGCTGCAAATAATATTCATATTGTTATTACTTTTGCGTTAATCTAATATAAAATGGGATGCTACAATAAATTTTTTGAATCTTTATTCGATACGCTCTTGACAGAACGGTCGTGGTAATGATGTAATGGAGTGAGAGGCAGATGACATCCGCTTTACGACAGGTCGCCGTTTCTTCCTACTATAATGGCATTCTGGTACACTCGTGGAGTGTTTACAAGTCAACAGGACTTGTAAACAAAACACTCATATAATTGGATACAATTTTTTTTGCACTTGGCATATGTATGATATTTATTATCTCTGTTAGCTATTTACAAATAAAATTATAATGCAATAAAATTGATTAATACATTTTATTTACTCTATTTGCAATTTATATATTATACTTTTGATGAAAGTACAAATATGCCAATTATAAAAAAAACCTGTTATACATTTGTTTAAATATGTACATTGAAATTCATTGCGTTATCAAATAATTTCAGTAAAAACTTTAAACACTCTATCCCTTCTTCAACTGCCACGCCAATTGTTTTTTAAAGTTAATTAACAATAACGAATGTTGAATATTTTGATTAAATAATGAATTAAATTATAATTAATGGGTCTTAATTAAGCAAGGAACAACATACAAACCAAATGTTAGAAAATGTATATAATCGTTTGGCTTTAAATTTATTTAATTCATATCCAATTTTATGAACAATTTTGGCGTCCTCATTTCTTAAAATAATTGTGATAAATCGTTATAGTTTGCGCTATAGTTTTATTGAATAATAAAATATATTTGTGACAATATTTTTTTTTGTATTGTGAAATTACAGAGTTGCCATAACGCAGTGTGTTTATACAATTTGAATGTTATTTGTGGCGTGCTGAAAAAATATTATAGTACTCGGCAGTGACAACGAATTGGTGTTGTGAGACCTCGGGCTAACTGTGTAGGGTACGTAATCTCACTATAGTCCCAGTGATTAATCTACCCACAGACGTTGCAAAATATTCTGTTCGTTATATACGTAGGCTCTCCTTTTGTTATTACCTGCATGGCCATGATTGTCATATTGAGATGTGAGCGGGGCCTTATATATTAAATTATTGATAAAATATATTTTCTCGAATATACGTTCGCTTGAGTTGATATGTTGCCGACTTTCAATTGTTTTCAATTAAATTATAGATTAAATTATAGATATTAGACCTTTTAGGGTTTTTGTTTCTACCCGTATCTTTTTCTCTCGTCTAATTTTTGCTGCCTGATGGCATCAGTGGCTCACCTGAATCGAAAGAGAAGGCGACCGCCTGGTTGTTTTAGATTCAATTAATGCCTCATTATGAGTCCAAATTAAACAAGGAAAATTTGTAGAAAATAAAAGATATCTTAGAAGTGAGGCTTGCATAACGTTTTAGCTTAATATTTATTTATTTAAACGAAATTTACAAGTTTATTTTTATTTTATTTTACATGTACATGAATTTTTAAATGTATTCATACCAGTAGTAATTTATTTATTTTATTCATTACATGTATTTACCGTGCACGCCTCATTTCTAAGACGTCATAGTGAGCAACGGAAATGGCCATGTATGTTAGATTGTATTAGTGTTATGTAGTGAAACTACGTGCATTTTTTTGTAGAACCCAGTGTTTAACGCTCTGTAATATAGTTGCTCAAATTAGGCATTCTGTTCCATATAAACTGTACGATACATTAAAATTACTGACTGATTTTGTGACTTGGTAAGGAAGTCTATTGTAAAGTATTCACCGGTAATAAATATATATTAGATACAATATAAACGGCATGGCCGATATAATAGAAATTATTTACTTATGTGTTAAGTAATGTCAAGAAATTTTCATGTTTAATCGTCCATTTGTAACCGTTAATATTTGTTTAAGGAATAATAAACAAAGTATAAAGTTGGTCACCCTTACCCTTTACCATATTTCTGCATACCTCTACAGAGCAGTTTATATATGTGCATTTAGACGCTGTAATTGATGGGATATTAGTAGTTGATACGTTTTCGTACCTAAACTTAGTGTGAACTGAACTGAAACTGTCAAATTGTACATTTTAGTCTATTTCTATCCAGAATTGTTAGCAACAGACATACCTAATCTACCCGATAGACGCGAACGAAATGCGTGAATTGTACAAAAATGTGGACAAGGATCCAAACAGATAATACTACTTAAAATTGATAGACACATTCTATATTTATATCTATTTTAATTCAATGCATAATAATAATAATAATGATGATAGAAAATATAGGATTTAGTCAACGTGTTGCAATAAAACGCCTAAAGGCTATATATAAATAAAAGATTATAAACATAGCAAAAGATATTTTAGTGGTGTTTTTATTTTCGTATATTAACACGGTATTTAATTATATTTGTATTATAAAAAGAGTATTAAAAAATTTTACATTTTTTTCTGTCAAGGATGATATGAAATGAAGCCCCTTGCCGGTCTCAAGCGTTACGTCAGTAGTTTGTCTGTATATGAAATGGTAATGTAAATATTTTGATCTGCTGGTTGTTATCTAGAATTGTGAATTAATTGCTTAAAGTCTTTGTGTTAAAGTGCATTTTGCTGCGTCGCGTCGCCCTATCGTCATATGTATGTAGCAGTTTGTTCTCGCGGCGAAATATAAATCGGCAGCAATTGTAATCTCATTTAAGGTTATCTAAGTACTGAAATATACAATAATTGTTACACAAGCGTCCGAACGCAGCGCTGTGCTCTTTAATTGTACACGTTTCTGTAGAACTTAGAAAACATCTTTGTGATAAAATTCTTAATAATATCATTCAGTAGAAAACGATGTCTGTGTATATAATAATAAGTAATGGATAAGTAAAAAGCTATATTTTGTTATGGTGAACAAGTGGCGCACACTCTGTAACTCTTCTTTTGCCATATTATGATCTTAGTTTGGGTATTACGAACATTCTCGATCGCACCCCACCTCGGTTCTTTCACCCTATTGATTTAATTGAATGTAAAGTATTCGTTGTAACAATGGAATATTTTGCAATATTAATATAATTTTTTTATCACTAGAAGGATCGTAAAATAGAACTGTATATTATTCAGATGTTAAATATTATTATTTCCTTCTTAATGTTTGAACTAAGCATGTAAAATTTAAAAATAATAATATAGAATAAAAGATGTTATGATAATTAATTACATAAAATCTTCGTTTGAATGTAACGCCTTTCCTTTTTTATCCTCAGCACATTTTTCTACATAAGTGAAATTGTAAACAAGCTGATGTCCCAAATACATAAACAACGTCGTGGAGCCCATAACATCCATTTCGGAAGGCCGAAAGTCTCCAACTCCGTAACCTGTAATTTTGCGGCTATATTCAACCACTCTATTTCAAAATTCAACTGAAATAATTTATAAAGCATTGATTGACAGTTGAAAAGGAGACACTGGTACTTGAAAACTTTCACACAAAGTTTACCTACGTTCAAAAAAATATCAATCACAACCTGACCAGATAATTCCGGGATGAGCTCTCATTTCCCTTTATGTGTCGTGGGAGTGTTATATAAAAAAGTACTCTGTTATCTTTTAGCGTTTAATCTGATTAAAAAGTAAGTATCAACAGAATAAATGAGCAATGATAAGATACATCTGTAAACTACATGCTTGTGGAGTCATACGATAGAACCCAGAGTAAAGTAAGTATACCAGAGGAAGTAGAACAGCTACTGTATGAGCACCGTTTTGATATCACGTGACCTGCGCTTTATTAAATTTACTGCGCATGCTTTCTTTATGATTTCATTCAATTTGTTTCCCGCCAATTATAATGACTACAAAAATTTATATGAAATAATTATTTGCTTGGAAAAAGGTTCACGTAGTACAAACAGTTCTGTGTTAACAGCCATAAAAAATATGCCGTCGTATAGGTCCGTCCTTTTATGAAGTATGTTGAAAAAAAAACAAACAGTACACGCTTGTGAACTCGAAAATAACATTAAAACAATAGAGGTATATTGTTCTTGTGTTATTTTTTGTTTTTAGAGGAGTACCTATTATAACAAAAAGGTCACGTAACCCTTTATCATTATGGATTTATGAATTAAGGGTTAATTTTTAAATGTATAAAAATAGAATCAATGCCAGTATCGTCTCCAATGTATTTATTAAACATTACATTCTTATACAGATAGATAGACAGCTGCAATAAATAATGTATCAAAGACTTCATATATATAAAGTTCAGTTTTACTATCTATGTCGACGAGTAAAAAATGGCTTACCACAGATTAGGTACTTACATAAATATTAACCCCCTTAATCATAAAACGTACTCTTTAATAAGCTTGTAACTGAGGCTTGCATATGCAACGCTGTTTTCCGATTGTATATGAGCCGATTGACAGTGGCGAATACAAACAAAGTTGTACTGTTTCAAACTGCAACTGTCACAATTCATAAATTTTCAATTTCAACTCTAATTAAAATTACAACAGCTTTATATAATCAACAACCTGTTTTATCCTTTTGAGTCATATTAATTTGATCGAATAGTTAAGGAGTTTTAGCAGGTTTCAGCTTTATGAATAAGAGGATTAAATTATATTCAAAATACAGGATATCCAATTATGGCGTATATAACTTTTATTGGCCCCATTTTGTCTCTGTGCTAATTTGTCAGTTATTCACTGTCTAAGAAAATTAAAACAAATATTCGATATGTATAGATAACGGCTCCAAAACTATTAAAAGTAATTCCGGTTTTCGTATATTCGATTCATCGTACATTATATATGTAGATATTTATAAAAAAAAAGAATGTATTTCTACCAATGGTCTATACACAAACTACCCATAACACAAACTCTGCTTAGTTTGGGACTAGATGGCGCTGTTTAAAAAAACAACCTTATTTATGGAAATAACACGTAATTTGTTGGATGAATTTTCAACAAAATAACATTATCCTAGATAAATAAATTCAGTCATGCAATATTTTTATATAGATTCAGTACAACTCATTGTAATTCCCGCAAAATAAGAACCTTTATGTGCATGAGTACCTTTACTTATATTGTTATTGGTGTATTTAAAAAAAAACAACTTGTTTAGTTGTTGTACATGACTACTACACCTTTATTTAGTCTTTTAGAGTAAATAACTCTGTGATAAAAATCACTACGATTAAAGAAACAATGAGGTTTCATATTTCTTACGTATCTTGAGGAAGAATGTATTTTCCATTATTCAAATAAATAATAGTTTTAGAATACAAGTTATACAATACACAATTTGATCATCCCGTACTTTTAGAAATTTATATTATAGCTACTTCTTTTTGTATACAATAAAAAATCTTATACAAAACTGTATATTCAATTTTAATTTTTTGATACAACATAATATATCTTGACAGTCCGTGTAAAACAAGCTATTTAATAATATTCAGTTTTTCTTTGGGAACCTTACAATTGGAAGCAATATGAAACAAAAAATATAATTCTAAGCATAAATTGTATTTTAGTCTTAACTCTTTATAACTTACTTTAAAATATACTATAATCACATTCATGAATGTACATGGTAACGTAATAACTAGGTATGGTTCGCACTGTTTCGCACCAACAACAATGTACTTATATTTTATGCCCTATACAGGCAAAGGAAACACGTATATAAATGCTATGACTTATAGAACGTTGATTCCTATAATAAACTTTATTCTCAACCGACTAAAATCTTTATTCCATTGTCCATAATTCAGACAGGTCGCCATTCTCTCTCGTTTGGCTCACGTTTCACGTGATAATTGAGACAAGGCTGGAAGTTGACGTGGATGGTGACAGGATGAAGAGGGGCGGCGAGGTGAACTGCCCGGGCGTCTAGTGCGTCGTAAGCGCCAAGGTGCCTCGACAAACATGCGTAATCAATGCTCAGCGGGACGTAGTATTTACCTGAAAATAAAATAGAAATAATCTTTATTCGTATGTATAATACAAACAGTCGTGACCTTGGGTTTGTTATTTCGACTCAGAAATACTACAATTGTGATCGTCAGTTCGAATTATGTAGGTCGCCACAAAAAAGCTTTGTATATCATTTTATATTTTTGACTGATTCCCCGATTATGGATATACCGATAACAAGCTAAATCAATTCGATGGATGGCATAGTAAGCTGTTGTTGGCAACTTTGATTCCAATCTTTTGTTATGGTATTATAGTATATATTAGTCTTACTTTATATTAAATATTTATTTTTTACATATATATCTATTAATATATTACTATTATTTTATATTTCTCTTTATTTATAATAACATTAATCTTGGACGATCCACACAGCCATCTAGTCTCAAGCTAAGCAGAGCTTGTGTTATGTATATTATGTATGTGTATATTATTATCAATTTGCACATATTTATTTATGTAGCTGTATTTATGAGGGGAACAAATAATAAAGAGTTTTCATTTCATTTCGCCATATTTGTTTATGGGTACAATATAGTCTGTCAGAATATATATTTCTGGTGCTAGATTAGAAAACTTACCGAGTGTATTGAGAGCGAAGACAGGCACATACTGCGTCGGTGGTTGCTGCTTCTCGTAATGATTGTGATGATGCGGCGACTCGCTCGATGTGTCCTGTAAATAAATAACTTATTTGCTTAGCTAATTTTTCTTGCACGAACGGGTAGTAAGAAATTTTTTCAGAATTTTTTTAAAAGTTATTTAGGATTTTTATGTAGTATTTGATGGATTAAATTAATATTATTTCATATTGATACTAGCTGTCCAACTGTGTCAAATAAAGTAGGGAATTTTATTTGCAATAAAAGTAGATAAATTCTTTTCGTTACTAAATAGGTTTGTAATGTTACGAATACGTAGCTATATAAAATTTCATGACGAGTGCCAAGAAGTATTTTTAAAAATTTTAACCAAACACATAAATCAATAAAATATGTAATATAATTAAACGCACATAAACTATGCCTAGACAAACGTAATATAATAATAACATTTATTGTTTCGAAAAGCTACAAGAAATATTTAAATTATATTTATATAATTAAAATACTTCTAGTGCTTTTCGAAATTATATTTATATATTTGGATTAAGCATCTATTATGTGAGGGTAAGGAAAATAAAGTTCTGATGAGTTGAACGCTCGCGCTTGTACTTATCTCGCTTCCTATAAAATACTATATTTTATAGTGTAGGGGACAAATAATTTCACGCAACACCGGGCTTTATTTTATTTAGAAGTTTTTATAGCATTGGGGACGAATGATCTTACATCTCACCTATATTGGTAAACGATTACCGCCGCCCATGAGCACAAGCACAAATGCGTTGCTTTTTAAAAAGGAATAAGCTCTTTTCTTGAAGGTTTTAGTATGCAAAATGTGGTAGTACGTGGCGTAAAATTTTCTGGATAAAAGTACGGGTGGAACGGTGAAATCCTAAAAAAAAAATTCTGGATGAATGGCGGTCCATTCATCCAGAATTATTATTTTTTTAGGATATTTAGGATAGATCATTTTAAAATAAAATTTGTATGTTCAAACAAATTTATATATTTATACGTGAGTATAGAGGCGAACACACCATGAAAAATAATTTACAAAGTTATATAAAAATATTTAAAATAACAAAATCTCAGTCAAATTTATTTATTCACAGAACATTTTTGGCACTTGAGCATGTCAACTACTTTAATCTCTAGCCCTAAATCCAATTCGGTTTTTTTTTCATGGATGATAATAGACCTACCAACCACAAAGATATTCTCTGGCGGGGTACTCTCTACTCTGGTGTCCAGGTCCACCGCGTAGAAGTCAACCTTACATGGTACATTGCTAGCAATGGAGTCAACAGTCCACATTGTTAACAATCCCCTTCTCCCTTTCGTCCAGTTCGATTAGATACCACAATTTAGAAGAACTGGCAAGAAACTCAAGAAAAGGATTTAAAATTAAATTCTTCTATACACTTTACCTACATACACTTTTGACGACCTCGGTGGTCTAGCGGTCTAGCACACCGCTTTACGTTAGATGGTCGCAGGTACGATTTCTCGCACAGCACAAAAATTTGTATTCATGAGTATGATTGTTTGTATCGGTTTGGGTGTTTTCTACGTATAACATGTATGTATTTACGAAAAAAAAGTATCTATGAACTTGTATCAGTTATCTAGTACTCGTAACACAAGCTTTAGCTAGCTTAACGTGGGACTATATGGCGCTGTGTGAATTGTCTTGAGATTATTATTATTATTACCTGTGGGGAGGTATCTCTGGCTTCTTCCGTAGAACCGGAATTAGAAGTGGATGTGGAAGGTGCTAATTTCGCTGCTCGTCGTCGCTTATGGCTGTAGACTTTCCCATGAGGATGTGTTGATCGTGCAGCCATGTCTGCCGCCTAGAAAAACCAAACATATAAAATTATATTCAAAATCAAAATATCTTTATTCATTACAGACACTTATCACAAGTCTAATTATTAATTACAATTAATCTGCAGTGTATATATTTGATAGTGTGATAATTACACTATTACTTAGGTGATATCTTAACGTAATAGATACGTCGAGGAACAAATCTTAAACCTAATCTTACATGACAAAGACAACAGTATAAATAAAATTGTGGCAACCCCTTTTACTTAAAGAATTTTATTGTTTTGTTTACCATACTTCCGCTACGACTCTAAACTGGTCGCCAAACAGTATACATTCAGCTTCCAAACTATGTAAATCGTTATTGGATCTACACCCATATTATGTCGTGTTTCACGTCTAAATAAGACATCATCAGGTAGGTAATAGAGTTTGGATATACTTTGGAAGCTGTGAGATCGCTTCGTGAAACATATGAAGACACTAGGAGGCTTCTGCACTGCTGGGAGAAGGTTGGCTGGCTACTTTAGTAGTCTCGGCTCGCACAACCCAGATAAGGAGCTCAATTTGGAGAATAGAGATAATAACTATCGGAATTTGATTACTAATAGGGAAAGTCTTGACGCTTAATGAATTTTTCATTACTTATCTAATGGATTTATATCTCTGAGACTTTCGTGATCTCACATATGCTAAAGTTGTGGAATGCAGTGCGGAAAACTGACCACCGCTACAGGAAGCGTTAAGTTATTGTTAGCAAATTTGATCACAAATAGAGAAAATCTATAAAATACAACTTACCTCATCTTGTGACCTCGAAAATCTTCTTTCAATGGAGTTCTTAAACTTGTACGACTGTAAGTAATCATCGTTGTGTTCAGGTTTCCTTATAGTCCGGAGTGTGGGCTCGCGCTTTCGCCGCCCATCCAGGGGTAACGGTTCCGTTTCACTCTGTACATCCCCCTCGGTTGCTATTGGGTGCTGATTTGTGGACACTACGAAGCAAAACTTTCCAATGAATTTGATTAATATCTGTGATGTTCCGTTGCAATTTGGACCGTTATTTGGAAGCTAATTATAAAGTAGGAAAAATTTGTTTTCTCTTCTCTTGATGGCAAGTGCTAAGCGCCACTTATATACATGAACAGCATTACGGACATCACGTTACCATGTAACGTCCGTGCTCTACATACATTGAAATTCTGAAGAACTGTGATGTAATTGTAACTAACCTGAAATTTCACTGCCTTCTGAGACGATGCAGACAAAAGCTAACTAAGCAAACTGCGTAGAGATATACATAAGCGAGACAGAGGTACCCGTGCAGACTTTGTTCAAAGTGTACCTCCTTATCAATATAGTCAGCTCATAGTAAGCCAGCTCGTGAACACAGTAAATTTCTTTATTTACCATAAAATTGTTCATGTCAAAACCAGTTTAACTATATAAATCATGCTTACTAAACTAAGTTTAAAAATAAATAAAGTACCTCAGTCAAAATTACTTCACTAGTATTGTAAAAAAATATCTATGTATTTGAATCAGTTATTTTGGTATAACACAAGCTTTAGTTAACTTAACCTGGGTCTAGATGGCGCTGTGTGAATTATTCTGAGATTACTAATATTTATTTTATTTATACATTTCAAATTCTTGAATTTCTTCGGTTTTATTGTTTAAAGCTTAAAGTTCTTTAAACTATAAAACCGACGAAGTAATTGTAATATGATTAACTTAATGCTAATTTCTCTTCCCGTAAAAATTTATGCATGATACGACACTGCTTTTTGCATTGTGTTATATGTAGATTGATTGATGATTGAGGCGGTAGATTGATGACACGCTGTGTTGTAGGTTATTATTATAAATAACCGTGGACAAGTCACACAGCGCTATCTAGACCCAAGTTAAGCTAGCTAAAGCTTACGTTATGGGCACTAGATAACTGATACAAATACATAGATTTTTTTGTAAATACATACATATATTATACATAGAAAACACCCAGCCCGATACAAACAATCATACTTATGAATACAAATGTTTGTACCGTGCGAGGAATCGAACCCGCGACCATCGGAAGAAAAGCGGTGTCCTTTACCGCTATACAACCGAGGCCGTCAAATCATATTATAAAAAAGCCTATTCAAGAGAGCACACAAGTTTCTTGCTCATTTTTCTTGTGATGAATCTGCGTTCTGAATGAGTGGTAGAATAAAACATGGCTATTCAAAAGTGCTTGTATTGAGTTTATTTGAATAAAGTTTATTTCTATTTTTATTATTAGTGTACAGAATTTGCAATCACCTCTATCGCATTCCATAGGGTATAGTGGCTCAGTTGGACGTTCCGACTCATAGGACTGTGTGGGGTATGAAGGTCCAGGTGGTGGCGCCTGCGCGATCACGCCAGGGTTCGTAGCGTACCCATGTGAGCTGCCAGAGGAGCTTGTCGTCTCCGAAGAAGAGCCGGCGTGAGACCGCGATTTGTCACGGGGAACTTCACCTATAAAATATCTTCTTTAATTTAAATGTTACCATACTTCTAAACGACAAAAAATGTTGGATGTTGTTTAATAAAATTTGTGTCATTGATTTTAATCTATGATATTTGTACATGGCATTTGTATATTATCATATTCATCTGTATTTATGATAAACTTTGTGCGTTTATTTGAAATTTTACATTTTATTAAAGAATTATTATCAAAATAAGCAGAAACAAATATTAAAGAACAATAAAAGTTATAAAGATATTAAAAATGTTTCGGTATTTAATTATGTTCTTTCGGTAGGTACATATAACAACCTCTGGTAACAGCATCGCAGTGCCGCTGTAGGTGTGACGCCAACTGCGCACAGAGTCCGTCGCTGCGACCGTAGCCTTGCATTTCCACCAGGAACCTGACAGCCTCGGCGACCGCTTCCTGATATCCAGCCTTGAAGTTCTCTTCGCCAACTTGCCTTTCAGCAGCTACAATAAAACCTAAGCTCATGACATTGATGCAACATCTCCGAGTGTGGATCTCCCAACAAACAGACGCCTTCTGTTCGAAGAATGTTACAAAGGAAATTATTTCTGTATTATATATATGAGAGGCCTTTTGAACGGCAGTAGGAAGAATTGGTTTAAAAAGGGCTCTGTGACGTCCCGATGAAAATATTGGTACAAACCATTAGCGCGCTCCTGTAAGAACTTAAGATGGCGGATGGCCATCTCTATGATCTCCGTTTTCTCAACCCGGCCACGTCCCTTCTTCAGATACTCAGGCGGGATGAGCCGAGACAGATCAGCGAGACAGTTATTCATCCGGTCGCGACGACGTTTTTCGATTATTCGATGCGACATCGGATCTTGCTGGAGTGCGAATAGTCAGAAAATAAGATTATTTATACTGTCAAAATTATTCGAATTAAGATCAACCAGGTCTTTGGTTATTATATTTAGCTTTGCAATAAATAAATATTTACTTTATTTATTAATTTATATTTATTACACATTTATATTGTTAATCGGGTCTTGCACCAATAATTTTATGGTAAATAAAGGTATTTCCCCACTCGATGTTTAGACTAAGTTGCACTAGCCGTAGTCACGAGCTGCCTCAGTCGGCTAATTACCTTTATTTACCATTAAATTATACATTTTAAGCCCAAACGGGTCTAACAATATAAAAAATGTGTATCAATCTGGAAAGTTTAAAAATGAATTAAAATACTTAATTAATACAGAACAAATTAGATATAAGTTATTTATTTTCCTGAAGATCATCAGTTATTCGTTTGGTATATACGTAAAACAATTTATAGTATATAAAATTTTACCTAGTATTTATTTTTGACTAAAACAGTAACTAGAAGTAATCGGTCCAGGGTTCAGGTTCTTGATAATCAATAAGATAAATGGAGTTACTAGCAAGTTTTAATTTTATAATATTATGCCCGTGACACATGTACAAATTTAACTTGAGGAACTGTCAGTCATAACTCACGTTATTTGAACCCCAACTGAATAAATTTTCACTTCAACAAAACTCTTAATAACACATAGTATAATGAGATATTTACTGTGATTTATCTTTTGTTAATTCCACATATTTAGACCATTTTGCAAGCATCCTTGTCACAGATCGACTGGAGATGATGTGACGGTGTACTTAAACAATTAGTACAAGTGTACAAATATATCTATTCCCTTTCTTAGAATTTCCATAAAATACCAAGATTATACAAATATTCAATAAAATACCGTAGATAATTAGAGAAATGCTATTAAAATAGTACTACACAAATGGCTCGTAGAAAAATGCTGTTAATCTGTTGCAAGAATTGACATAACATTAAATTATCTCATTATTTATTACGAAATACTTATATCATTAAGAAAAATCTCCCGATAATTAGATATACATTTGTACGTTATGGTATATAAGACCACTACACTGTAAAGAAATAAATGTTGAAGCAAATAAATAACATTAATACTATTAGTTAGTTATTATTTTTCTGCATACATTGATATTCAATAATAGAAGAACTTAAATTAGATAGAATATGTTCTTGTTATTTTTAATTGTCGGAGCATATGTAGCTTTAGACTTTTCTTTAAGATAGCTTGCCGTTTTCAGATATTCTAACACAGAATCCACGTAAGGGTTGACTTTAAACTATATAAAAAAGAAAATAACTGTAAATATCCAGTTGTATAATATGTAAAATTCTGAATAACAGTGAAAGTAATAAAAAAATTGTTGAACTGTTTACAGTTTTGTCTACATGCAATGATACCACTAAACTTTAAACTACAAGCAGAGTTGCACGTGTGTGACGAACAAAAGTATTAAATGTCAACTTGTTAATGAAAAGAGATATAAATTGGGCATGTTCAGTTTGACTTGCCCTCGAGACCTTCCCCTTCTTCAAGTAGGCGCCTGGTGGGTACTCCGCCTCGTCTTCCGAAGGGGCGGCGAAGTTGAGTTGATCTGCAACGCGACTATAGCCATCATTTGAATTATAACTGCAACAAACGAAATGCATAAATGTATCTATGTATTCATATGATTTCCGGCTTCAGTGGTCGAACGGTTTAGCACACCACCTTACACCCGATGTTCATGAGTTCGATTCCTCGCACGGCACAAATATTTGTATTCATGAGCATGATTGTATCGGTCTGGGTGATTTTTCCGTAAATACATACATATAAGTATGTATTTACGTAAAAAACAATGGCGCTGTGTGAATTGTCTTGAAGTTATTATTATTATTATATCAGTTGTCTAGTATCCAAAACACAAAATCTGCTTAGCTTGGAACTCGACGACGTTGTTTGAATTGTTCAGAGACATTATTATTACTAAAAAATCTGATTTCGTACTGTTATGATGGGTGTTTCTAAAAAGTATTACACCCTTTTGATGTTATATTATATTATTCACTTTAATTAATCATAATCCAGTTTTAGTTTTTTATTTTCTTATGGCTTGGCACAAAGAGCATTATCTACATATATAGGGCTTTTTCCAAAATAGTAGAGACTTGTACCATTGACAAAACAGAGCGAGAGGCATAGACAACAGTAAGATAATATATAAATCTATCTTATTATTATTAATTAATATTATAAACATCAGTATGCATGGATGTTTGTTACTCTTACACGCAATAACTACTGTACGGATTTTGATGAGACTTTACAGTATTATAGCTTATATGTCAGAATAATATATAATCTATTTTCACGCGGGCACAGCTAGTAAATAAATAATTTAATCGCTGTGGAGCTGTAGGTAAGTTATATATTGTAGAATCGTAAACGAGATCAGTCGGCCGAAATGCAAAATTCTAAAATATATTTTTATGTATGATAAACATGAGGTTATCGACGCACGTGTGGATGTTAAACGTGTCGGGGTAGCCCAAGGTCGCCCAACGATTACTGATCACGTTACAGGGACTAGTTTTTTAAACATTAACCTAAATTAGGGTTTTTTTAATGGATGATAATGGTGCACCCGCCTGCGCTAACGGATTACGCTGGCACCAGTGGAGGATGATGAGTATGAGGTCAGGATAGTTAGCCCATCGTGTCAAATTGACCAAGAATTTACACAGAAGGGACCGCGTGGAGGTCAACCTGACATGGTACATTGCTAGCAACTACTTTTTCATGACAAAACATCGTTTCAGGACTTAAAAACAATTGATGGAGAAGAAATTTACAAAGCCGCTTGCTGAGATAGAGGTTTGCTAGAAGATCAGATAAAAATGTTGTAAAAATGTCCACCCGTGCAAAGCCGGGACGGGCCGCTAGTGTTTCTATATATGAATTGAATTCTAATAAGCGTCAATGTATTTATGTTACGACAAAAAATTAACACGGAAAGTGTAAAGTTGTAAAATCTATTTATATCCATATTTCGCATAAATTTTCCGTATTTTATTACACAATTAATTACCTACCTACTCAAAATGGTTATAGTGCGTTCTTGTCGACCCATTCATACTGCAGTCTGCAGTTTTTCGATCGAAACTATTCTTTTTATACATTGCTTTGTGTTCTGAAGAATTGTTCAGATTAATATTAGCTGCTGAATTTTACTATCATACTACCCGCCACAAACTAAAATATCAAATATCATCTAATTATCTGGATGAATGGTGATCCTCCACAGTTCATTTTTCTAGAAACTTTTTGCCACGCACAACCACATTATGGAATCACCATACCATTCCAGCAATGGTATTTCCGAACCGATATGATATTGAATCCTACAAGAAAAGAGTTTATTCCTTCTTAAAAGGCGGGCAAAGCACTTGCAATTATAAGCAAGCTGGTTTGTCATTCTGTCCGACCGTCCGTCTATCTGTCAAGACCATAAATATCTTGGGAACGCGTGGATGTACCTACGTATCGTTCGGTCAAACTGTAAAAGCCGACTGCGGCCAACAGCATTGGAATAGCATCGAAAAAAACTCTAATAAAGTAGGTGAAGAATGAAAATATGTCAACATGAATATTTAGTCTTGCAGTAAAATATGAAACCTGATGTTTGCTTGTATGGTTTTATATTTGCTCATAAAATATGGTAGGTCGTCTGACACCTCCTTAGCAAGTCGCAAGTGTTATGAAACACGAGTATGTCTACTTGTAATAACAATGTAAACATTGTTATATATTGAACGTCATAGAACGCCTAGTGGATTACTTACCCAGATTTACACGCAAGAGGTCGTCAATTTAAATCTGTCCGATAAAAAGAATGTGTCAATTTGTAAGTGGCAAAAATTTATTCGAAAACGGCGTACAGGAACACAGGAATTTTCTTAATATTGTTTAAACCTTAATAAAATTATAGAAAATATATATCAATATATAGAAAGCATTTAACATTTAAATAATTAAAATTACATAATACTGTTACAATTGTTTCTGATTTAAACACATTGAGTATTTAATCATAACGCTTGACAGTAGCTGTTTCGATCTTGGATTGTCCAACGATTCATACGATGACAGTAGCGGTTGCGGTATCGAACTGAGTGCATCTTGGTTTGTAACTAATAACTAACTACTAACTAATAACTGTCAAGGAATTCATGCTATACTAACAGAGTTGTAGAATAAAAGTCAATAGCCACGGAGACGAATTCGCCGGATGAACATATACTTTGAATGAACGTAATTAACTTATTAAATATTTTTTTATTTATTTCAGGTTACTATGGCCTATATTATAAATAATACCTTATAACTAACATAATAATAATATAAATATATATAAAAGTATAAATCGTATCGGGTCACGGTACTGACGACGGCAATCTGCCACGGTAGCTCAAATACACCACCGTCGACCAGTCGTCCTCTTTCATGAAGGTTCGCAGCATGTTGGTGAGAACCCAGCCCCGGATCTTAATATTTTCGAGGCGGCAAAAACTAAAAAATGAGTTGTATATTCAGCTACCAATTTCGAATTTGCTGCCCCCTGAACTTGCCTTCCGGAACATGGGCCACGTGTCGAGGATGCGAGAACCCGGGCTGCAAACGCCTTGAAACTCGCATAGTGACTCGTAGGACTTACTCGTATGTAGTAGTGTAGCGATAGTAATTATAGAATTAAATGATGAGTCATTTATTTGATGATTGATGCACGATGCTCGCTTTGTCACGTTCACAGCTTTTATTTGCTGGGTGTTACGTTTTTGTTATTATGACACTATTATTGAGGTTCTGAACCAAAAGGAAAATTACATACTCTACCATCTTTATAGTATAAAATGAAGTCGATTCCGCTGTCTGTTTGCTTAGATCTTTTAAACTACGCAACGGATTTTAATGCAGTTTTTAACAATAGATAGAATGATTCAAGAGGAAGGTTTATATGTATATATGTATAATACGAGAACTCCTGTGGGAAGCTGGGGCGGGTAGTTAGTTATAGTATAAGTATCATAACAGTAATACGTGAAGTAATAATAACTTTGTTTATTTTTACAAAAATTGGACGGCGATTAGCGGTTGAAAGGACTATGAAACTTCACTCAGTTCAAGTTTATAATAATAAAAACACTGAACTGATCACACAGCGCCACCCAGTCTCAATCTAAGTATCGCTTGTGTTATGGGCACTAAACAACTGATACAATTACTTATTTTTTGGAAATATGTACATAGAAAACATCCAAATCAATACAAATAATAATCATACTCATGGATACAAATGCTTGTACCGTGCGAGAAATGGAACCTGCGACCGTCGGAAGAAAGGCGGTGTGATAAACCTTAAACCGTCGAGGCCGTCAAAATTCTTAGAATCTACTCGGGAGAAGCCGGGACGTGACAGCACTATGCCATATAAAGAGTTCGAACAGTCGATTACCAAAACTCTGGTTGTTACATCTTATAAGTAGAAGATAATAAGAATTACGTCACTCTCGGTCGAGTCGAGGCGAAATGAAATTACTCATGATGACTCTACAGGTTAGTGCAAAGGAAAGTTTTTGTACCACAGTGATATATACAATAATACCACATTAATGTCCCCTCATACCGCAGTTCTCTTCCATAGAAGAGCATAGAGAGTATTTTTAATGGATGATAATGAAATTGTGCACCGGCCTGCGCTAATGGTTTACGCTGACGGGGCACCAGTGGAAGATGATAAGATAGACAGCTCAGGTCAGTTAGGTCCTCATGGCAAATTCACTGCGAATTTATCTTGATGATTTCCAGAGGGAACTGCGTAGAGGTCAACCTAGCAATGGGGTAATCAGTCCACATTACTAACAATACCCTTTCCCTCATAGAGAGCATTCTAAGCATATATCTCTCCTCATATGGGGAGGATAGGATAGGATTCAAGGGAGGATATACTTGTAGACTGGCTAAATGGTTTGGTATATACAAATATGGTTTAAGTTACCAGGGACCAAGAATTATCATAACACATAGGGAATGTTGTTTCTCTGACAACTATTAATAAATAGGCCAAAAAATATTTTAGTTTAATGATAAAAACAAATTATCACTAGAATATCAAAACGTATTGCCAACCCACGGTTATTGTTTAATAGAAGGATTGACTACTGCTACATTGGCCATTCGGCTTGGTGTATATACGGTTTTATTTCGTGTTTTCTTCTCGCATAGGTACTGGTGAGGTCTGCTTTCTTCCCTTAGACACTAATAAAGGCAAATTCACCGCCACTTAATCACAACGTTTTCCAAGTTGGAGTGCATGGAGATCGACTTAACAGAACCGAACAGAATGCCTGTTTATTTTTTTCTCATCAAGCTACTGTAGTGGACCTTTACAGCTCGTTCAGAGTGCAGAAGGCACTCCAAACTTCAAATCCGCGGAAGGACTTATGAGTAGCAGCAATGATCTTCAACTGTTTCTTGTCCGATGCATACGTCTTTAATGTGCCGACTAGGGCTTCAAAACTCCGCTCAGGCTGTCGTAATACCGATGCCCGTTAGGCAGGCAGCAGAGACTACGATTGGAAGAGCAAATT